TATTTGACATAAAAGTTTTTAATTCCAAAAAAAAAAACATCTTGCACCAAATCATGTACTCATCACTGGTCACACCTTTGGTATGTACATTTAGAACAAATATGTCCAAAAAAAACCCATTTAATAAGAAAATTCATTATTTTTTCAGGTCATAGCTAGGATTGTTGATGGAAGTAAATTTGATGAATTTAAAACAATGTATGGTGAAACATTAGTTACAGGTAAAATGCTTCTTTTTGCACATAAAGCACTTGTTCTACATAATGTATAATAACAAAGGTTTCTGTGATCAATTAATAATGAAAATTCTCAAAATGAAATGTTAATTTTGCAGGTTTTGCTAGACTATGGGGATACCCTGTGGGAATTCTGGGAAATAACGGAGTGCTCTTCAGTGAATCGGCATTAAAGGTAGGTATGCAAATCTACACTTTTTCTCTAAAATATTGTTTAATTTTAATCATTTGTCCCATTTAAAATGATGCTGATAGTGAATTTCTAGACTTACCTGTAGAAACATACAAATTATTACCTGTACTTAACTTTGTTGTTTTTTTTTTTTGTTTTGCAGGGAACACACTTTATAGAACTTTGTTGTCAAAGAAACATACCTCTTATATTTCTTCAGAACATAACTGGTAAGATTAAGTAGTATAAAATCCAGTGGAACAATTTATTTTTGCCCTGAGATATTTTGAAAGTTATTCTGTAATCAGTTATTAATCATAAATTCAGAAATATAAATTGATGTAAAAAGTGTGGTAAGGGTTTCCAGCTGAAAAGGTATGTCTTTAAGATTTGGTATTTCCTTTGAACCGCATTAGTTTAAATACATTAGATGCACTCAATACATATATTTTTGTTTCCACACGAAATCATTTTATTCTACATGGATTTTATCGATATACATGCATTTTCTCATTTCTTTCAAGTATGTATGGAATGGGAGAATCTGCAGTCCATAAAAATACATGTATATTTTTCAGCATATTATTTCCAATGATGAAAAAGACTTAGGGTTGAAAGGGGGGGGGGGGGGGGGGGGTGTGTTAAAGAGTTGGTCATGTTGATCAGGGCACCCTAAACACAGATAATTTTCGGGGGCCAATTCCAAGATATTATTCACATTTACATGTACATCCATTGGAAATTCTCATATATTTGTAATAAGTTTTATGGTTGGTCAGCTTGTCATATTGATATGTAACAGGTTTTATGGTTGGTCGAGATGCTGAGGCAGGGGGTATAGCCAAGCATGGAGCTAAAATGGTAACAGCTGTGGCCTGTGCTAAAGTACCTAAATTTACTGTGATAATAGGAGGCTCCTACGGAGCAGGGAATTATGGGATGTGTGGCAGGGCATACAGGTAAATATACATCTGCTAAACTTAATTCTTATGTTTTCTACACATAAACAAAATTATTTTACAGGTTGATAAATTCAATCACTCTCTAAATATTTAAGATCACACATCTCATTGTCTGTAATGTTATCTCTGTTTATTGTAGTCCCCGATTCCTGTATTTATGGCCCTGTGTTGTAGTCTCTGTTTATTGTAGTCCCTGATTCCTGTATATATGGCCCTGTATTGTAGTCTCTGTTTATTGTAGTCCCTGATTCCTGTATATGTGGCCCTGTACATGTAGTCTCTGTTTATTAGCTCACCTGAGCTGAAAGCTCAAGTGAGCTTTTCTGATCACCTGTTGTCCGTCCGTCCATCTAGCTGTCAATCTGTCTGTAAACTTTTCACATTTTTGACTTCTTCTCAAGAACCACTGGGCCAATTTTAACCAAACTTGGTACAAAGCAACCTTGGGTAAAGGGGAGTGTAAATTGTTAAAATAAAGGGCCAAGTCCCCTTACAAGGGGAGATAATCAAGAAAAGACAAAAATAGGGTGGGGTCATTAAAAAATCTTCTTCTCAAGAACCACTGGGCCAGAAAAGCTGAAACTTATCTGGAAGCATCCTAAGGTAGTTTAGATTCTAAATTGTTCAAATCATGACCCCCGGGGGAAGGGCGGGGCCACAATAGGGAATCCAAGTTTTACATTGAAATATATAGAAAAAAAATCTTTAAAAATCTTCTTCTCAAGAACCACTGGGTCAGAAAAGCTGAAACTTACTTGGAAGCATGCTGGGGAAGTGTAGATTCTAAATTGTTCAAATCATGACCCCCGGGGGTAGGGCGGGGACACAATAGGGAATCCAAGTTTTACATTGAAATATATAGGAAAAATCTTTAAAAATCTTCTTCTCAAGAACCACTGGGCCTGAAAGCTGAAACTTATGTGGAAGCATGCTGGGGTAGTGTAGATTCTAAATTGTTCAAATCATGACCCCCAGGGGTAGGGCGGGGCCACAATAGGGAATCCAAGTTTTACATTGAAATATATAGGAAAAATCTTTAAAAATCTTCTTCTCAAGAACCACTGGGCCAGATAAGCTGAAACTTACTTGGAAGCATCCTGGGGTAGTGTAGATTCCAATTGTTTAAATCATGACCCCTGGGGATAGGGCGGGGCCACAATAAGTACTATGGGGGGGGGGAGAGAGAGAGAGAAATCAGGTGAAAAACAGCAAGGCCAAAGTTACTCAGGTGAGCACTGTGGCCCATGGGCCTCTTGTTGTAGTCCCGATTCCCATATATATGGACCTGTATTGTAGTCTCTGTTTATTGTAGTCCCCGCTCTCTGTATATGTGGACCTGTGCTGTAGTCTCTGTTTACTGTAGTCCCAGATTCCTGTATATATGGCCCTGTATTGTAGTCTCTGTTTATTGTAGTCCCCGATTCCTGTGTATATGGCCCTGTATTGTAGTCTCTGTTTATTGTAGTCCCCGATTCCTGTATATATCGCCCTGTATTGTAGTCTCTGTTTATTGTAGTCCCAGATTCCTGTATATATGGCCCTGTATTGTAGTCTCTGTTTATTGTAGTCCCAGATTCCTGTATGTATGGCCCTGTGCTGTAGTCTCTGTTTATTGTAGTCCCCGATTCCCTTATACATGGCCCTGTATTGTAGTCTCTGTTTATTGTAGTCCCCGATTCCTGTGTATATGGCCCTGTATTGTAGTCTCTGTTTATTGTAGTCCCTGATTCCTGTATATATCGCCCTGTATTGTAGTCTCTGATGATTGTAGTCCCAGATTCCTGTATATATGGCCCTGTATTGTAGTCTCTGTTTATTGTAGTCCCAGATTCCTGTATGTATGGCCCTGTGCTGTAGTCTCTGTTTATTGTAGTCCCCGATTCCCTGATACATGGCCATGTACTGTAGTCTCTGTTTATTGTATTCCCCGATTCCTCTATATGTGGCCCTGTATTGCAGTCTCTGTTTATTGTAGTCCCCGATTCCCGTATACATGGCACTGTATTGTAGTCTCTGTTTATTGTAGTCCCCTAATCCTATATATAGCCCTGTATTGTAGTATCATTTATTGTAGTCCCCGATTCCTGTATATGTGGCCCAATGCCAGGATTTCTGTGATGGGAGGGGAGCAGGCTGCCAGTGTTTTAGCTCAGATCACACGAGAACAGAGGATAAAGGCTGGGAAAGAGGTAGGTGCATCTCACTTGTATTTTATGCTGTGTAGTTGTTTTGTACTAGATATTTACATATTGATGTCACAAATGTCGAATGCCTTGTAAGTCAATGTCATAAGCAAAAATCTAAATTCATGCTCACATTAAGCAGAAAAGACTACTCCTTAATTAGCTGTACAAGTATGGTGTGTATCCTTTAAACTGAAATAATATATTAGTATTCTAAGAAACAATATATTACCAATCTACCTTGAAATTTAAAAATGTAAGTATAAGCATTGAATAAAAATTTTTGGATGTTCAATATGTCATAACATGGACTGCTGTTCAGACAATTTTTTTTTTATAACAAGGTAATGTGTGTTATTCAATTTATGAGCAAATTTTTTCATGTTATGATGCATTGAACATCCAAAATTTACAATTTAGTACTAAAATGTAAGGGCAAAGGTTAGTTAGGGTGCAAATTTATCCCCTCATTTGGTGTAAAAAATCAATCCACAGGTAGAATTGTGATAATGTAGTTTGTAATGGAGAACCTAAAATGGTGCATAGCTTTGTAACCCAAACTGATTTTTGTGTAAAGCATACACATAGGCTACATGAAGGTGACAGGTTAGAAAAGATGTTAAAGGACTTATCGCATGTTTCTAAATTATTTGAAATTAAAAGCGTATTACGTTCCTTATGACCACAATTTATAAATTCTGTGTTTTTACTGTGGATAAATGGCGGTAATTAACTAATTATTGACTCAAATGAAAACCCCTGAATTGAAAATCTAAGTTAATTAGATAGTGATCACGTGACCCTGTGACGTCAAAGGCGACAATGGCTGATCAGCTCTTCACTAATCTTACTAAAATATACGCGATACAACCTGAATTTTCTGCGTTGTGGACGACCAAATCACTTATTTTGTCGATATAAAATTGAATATTCAACCTTACATGTTAGAATTGTAAGCAAGAAAAAATCTGAAAAATCTGTTAACATTGTAAAAATAGCAGCGACGATAGCGAGGGAGACGCAGCGAAGACAAAGAAACTCGCCATAACAATTGGCGATCAAATGCAATTTGATTTGTCATCTTATCACATGTATTAACTTATTTGATTCACAAATTACACATAATATAACTTTGTTATTCTTCGTTTTGTATATAGTATTAATTTATGCAAGTCTTCATATGTTTTTTAAAGGATGGCGATCTTGAAAAATAATTTCCCGATCACGAAACATTGCCGTAATTAGAGCTACAGGTTCTAAATGTTTTGAATAAAAAACGAAAATATCTTAAAAACCTTATACCTTAGAACTAATTAATGCTTCTATAATAATTGAAAATCATATAAGGAATTAATTTTTTCAGCATATTTCGTAATTTAGCTGCATTTCTCATTGATAATTCCGTTAATAGTGTGCATATTCTCATCTCTCTATCACCGAATTGTCGCCTATGACGTCAGAGCAGTATTTCGCCGAAATCCGACTGAAATATGCATATTGCCGTATTTGAATTTCAACTCTTAATATCTCTTAAAATATGCTTTCAACAATGATTATTGTATTCAGCATTTTGATAAATAAGGTTATAGATAATATTTTTCTTAAAATTACGATTTTTGAAAGATCATGCAATAAGTCCTTTAACAGTACGTTTTTAACAATGAACAGGATAGAAGAGTAACCCCCCTTTAATTATGATATGATTATGATATTATAGTTCACACCAGATGAGGAGCAATTAATAAAAGTCCCAGTGATAAAGAAATATGAAAAGGAAGGTCATCCATATTATGCCAGTGCCAGGTAAGATTACCATATACATGTACTACATATAACAGATACTAAATTGTATGTGGGATGCTAGGTAAGACTACCATATACTACATATCAAAGATACTAAATTGTGTTACTCTTTTCTGATTTGGTTTCATCCTTGTTAGAAAAGTGTTATTATTAATTCAAATATCATTAAATAACAGAGATTTGCAACTACACCATTAATAAGTTTATTGTGACAGACCCAGTGTAGCATAATATTATGATACTGCAAAGTATTGAACCTGAGTTCAATAAATCACATAATATTTTGAAGCTGGGTTCACTTATTGGTTGGAATATAATGAACTCCCCTATAAAATATTGAAACAGTGTTTCAAGATATTTTTGCTAGAAAATATTGACTCTGCAGGTTCAATTTTTGGCAACAACATATTGTCTCCAATTATTTTTTTTACTTTGGGGGGATGGAGTGGATTAGAAGGGGGTTTGAGGCTCAGAATATTGTACACCCAATAGACTTCTATAGTAAGGCTAGGATATAGACTCGCTATATATTATGTGTCTGTTTATTGATAGGTTGTAGAGTTATAGACCCTGTGTTAGGACTCGCTGTATATTATGTTTCTGTTTATTGATAGGTTGTAGAGTTATAGACCCTGTGTTAGGACTCGCTGTATATTATGTGTCTGTTTATTGATAAGTTGTAGAGTTATAGATCCTGTGTTAGGACTCGCTATATATTATGTGTCTGTCTATTGATAGGTTGTGGGATGATGGCATTATAGACCCTGTAGACACACGTACTGTGTTAGGACTCAGCATCAGTGCTTCCCTGAATGCTCCTCAACAGAATACACAATTTGGAGTCTTCAGGATGTGAAGGACACTCTACTTCTCAATGAATAGTGGAACAATAAGAATTGTCTTGATAAACAGTCTAGAAAGTGCAGGGCATTTGTGTGTGTAGCCAAAAGTCATTGTGAAAATTTAAGTATTGCTGTTGTATTTTAAATTGTTTGGTAAAGTACTAGTGTATTGTGGAGAAGAAATTCAGACTTTAGCAGGATATGTTTGCTGTATTTTTGACGAACATTAAAACTATCATCTTAGGAGAAGAAATTATTTATGTGTGATGTTTAGAATACTCAAAGGATGGATCAGTTTAAATTCAATGTGTACATGTTCAGCACCTGACAGACATTTATACATTATATTGATAGTAATATGAATTTTTGTTTGACAGTAAAGTAAATCAGGTATTGATTTAAGAAATGAATATAATTTTTGATGAGAAAATGAACTGTTTTTTAAATGTAAAGAATCTTAGAAAAAAGGAAATTGGAAAAGTAAATATAAATGAGAGAACTGTAAAGTATATATGTTTATATAAATGTTAAATAAAAAAAAATGTACATGTATGTGTCATACTTTCATGGATGTTTCAACAATTATTTTTTTAAGTGAAAACATTTTTAAAAGGTTTTATTGAGTAACTTCTTCAACTAACAATAAAACAATGGTATTTAATAGAGTATTGTGTTCACAAAATAATATCATATTTCAAGTAACAACAGTAAGTAACATCCTAAACAATGACAAGAACTCTAACAGTATTACATTTTCTTCAATCTTTTCAAGATAGTATGTCTTATGAGCTTTAACTTATTTTCCCTATGGCACTTTCTATTGTAAGAAAGTTTCTCTACCTCACTTCCAATTGTAAGAAACATTCGCTACCTCAAATCTTATAACAAGAAAGGTTCCCTACCTCACTTCCCATTGTAAGAAATGATCCCTACTTCAATTCTTATTGTATAATAATTATTATTATAAAATAAGGTTCCCTGCATCAATTCTAACTGTAAGAAAAGTTCCATACCTCAATTTTTATCGTAAGAAAGATTCCATACCTCAATTTCTTTGTAAGAAATGTTCTTTACATCAATTCTTATTGTTAGAAAGGTTCCCTACATTAATTCTTATTGTAAGAAAGGTTTCCTAAGTAACTTCTCATTGTTAGAAAAGTTCCATATGTCACTTCCCATTATAAGAAAAGTTCCATACCTCAAATCTTATTGCAAGAAAAGTTCCCATTGTAAGAAAGGTTCCTTACATCTATTCTAATTGTAAGAAAGGTTCCTATGTCGATTGTTAATTTTACAAAGGTTCCCCTTTGTCACTTCCCATTGTAAGAAAGGTTCCTTACATAACTTCTCATTGTAAGAAAGGTACCCTATCTCAATTCTTATTGTAAGAAAATTCCCTATGTCACTTCCTATTGTAAGAAAGGTTCCCTTTGTCTATTCTTATTGTAAGAAAGATTCCCTAATTCAAGACTTATTGTAAGATAGATTCCCTATGCCACTTCATGTTGTAAGAAAGATTCCCTGTGTCACTTCCTATTGTAATGCCCTGTTCCCAGGAATATGCATGAAATAATTGATTTGTAGTATATAAATGTGAAGTAAATTTATGCCAATCAAATTTCACTTACATAATAAATAATGCGAAATGAATTAACATTTTTAAAATTTTATTCCTACGGTAAGGCTGCTATGTTGCATTTAAAAATAAGTCGCCTTATGCAGAGCAGATATACATCTGACTGAGGTAAAATTAATTTTCATTTGTTTTTCACTCAAAAATAGCATACAGAGTACTTGTACCTGACCACCAACATATTGTATGTGACATAATTTTTCTATTAAGCATGGGTAAAAGTTTAGTTAAAATTAGGTTTGCTTAGCATTCACACACTGTTAATGCTAAGTAATTTGATGCACAATTAATTTGAATTAAGCTTATTCACATTAAATTCTCTATCTTAACAGGGTCTAATGAAGGTTCCCTATGACTCTTTAGATTTTTAAGAAAGATTTCCTGTGTCATTTTCTCCTTTTTCATTTCTGATTACTTAGTATATAAAACGTCACTGTATTATAAGAGAGGTCCCCTGTTTCACTTCACATTTTAAGAGAGGTTCACTATGTTCCTATAGTAATCAATAACTGAGTTAAAGAGGTTCCCAGTTTCACTTCCCATCAAAGGAAAGGAGTCTTATTTTCAAATTATAAGGAAGGTTCTCTTTTTCAGTTTCACTTTAAGAGTGGTTCCCTCTATCCCTTCCCATATTAAGAAAGATTCTCTATGTCACGTCCCATTTTAAGAAAAGTTTCCTGTGTCATTTCCAATTGTACAAAATTGTACAAAATTTCACTTCTCATTGTAAGAGAGGTTTCCCGTGTCACTTCTCATTTTAAAAGAGATTCAGGATGTCCTTTTAGTAAAAAAGGTTCCTGTATTCACTTTCCATCATAAGAAAGGGTTTTTTCCACCTCCAATCGAAAGAAAGGTTCTTTATGTCACTTTCCATAGTAAAAAGGTTCCCTAGACCTGTCACTTCCAATACTAAGATAGACTCCCTATGATACTTCCCATTGAAAAAAATATGAATGTCATTCCTATAGCGAAAAAGGTTCCCTAGGTCACTTCCACTTGCAAGAAATGTTCCCTATGTCACTTCCCACTGTAAGAAAAATAATCCCCATATCACTTCCCATTGTACAAAATGAACTTCCTACAGTTAGAATGGTTCCCATTGTCACTTCCCATTGTAACAGATGTTCCCAATGTCACTTTCTACTGTAAGAGAGGTTCCCTATGTCACTTCCCATTGCAAGATTGCCAAATCCCGACCACCAACAGAAAACAGGAACTGGCCATCCTCGCTAAATACTAGATTTCTCACACCACCGTGACCTTTGTAAGTATGACAGTAAGCCTGCAAAATAACAAGACCAATACACAGGTGTTAGCTTTATATAGTTTTTTTTGTATTTTTTTGTTGTAAAATCCATGATTTTTTTTTCTCTAAGTAATTTTCGTATTTTACGATAAAATGTCAATTGCACTATTTTCCTTTTTCAATAATATGTAAGAAAGTGTATATATAAACACTTGGATAACTCTAGAAAATAAAGCTTAATGAGGATTAGAAATCATGAGATCTTTTCTATGTTCATCATATGTTTTTTACCACACCAAGATAAATTTGTATATTCCTGCTTGTTATTATCATGAGAATTTACTTCTTAAATCACATAAAGAAATCAACATACTCCCTGTTTGAAGCATGGATATCTGAATAGACTGATTTGTCCACTGGAGTTGCCCATGGCCACCAGCTTGTTCTGTGAGTTAACAGCTACACAGTGAACGTCATTGTTCCTGGCCTGTTTAGAGCTCCACAGTCCACACATACTGACGTCCACCGCACACGTCTCTGTTTCCCATTGTATTGACATTGTGTCTAAATCCTTGTCTTTTTGACAAAAGTTTGTAGCATTCCCTGAAAGTATTTGACCCATTGGAGGTCTTAAGAAATCGAATACGTTTCCATGCTTTATAATTCCTTATGCTTTCTCTTTTTAATGATAAGATATACTTGGATGAATTACTGAAAAAAGATATATGGCTGACAAAGAAGAGCCGGATACAATTATTGTTAAGGAGGTAAGTATATGTATTCTTAAATTTGCGAGCTGAGGAGTTTGCCTGTCTCGAGTTTTACAAGTTTCAATATGCTTTTTTAAAATACATTTTACTCAAAAAATGCCAAAGATAAAAAGTCCAATAATTCAAATTTTGAGGAGGAGCAGCCCAACAATTTTGATATTGGACTGGTTGTGAAACATATCAGTCCAATATTAACGTCAATACCAGCTTATGTCACACATAGGAAATTCACATCTGGGTCTGCTGGCACGGAAGTGAATATACACGAATCACATGTACCCTTCCAAATAATGATGATGTTCTTTTTTGTCTGCACATCAACAGATGAGATTTTTAAAAGAACAAGGAAGTATATTGTTCAACAAGTTCTATGTAACAGTCTTAGAACTATTTGTATCAGTCTAACATTTTCTGAGGCTCTGAAATAATAGTCAAATGACTTTCTTTAAAGTTTAATTGAATAAAATGTGTTGATATTATTCGTGCATTGCAATAGCTTTATGTCAGGTGCAAGTGGAGGATGTAACAAAACAGTTATTGACAGAGTATGAGAAATATTTGTTGGACCTTCAGACAAAATTTTTTCACACATTCTTTTGTCAACATTTCACATCTTTAGATCTAGATCAAATACTCTTCTTTTATTGAAGTCCGTCGGATGGGACGTAAAACGGTGCCCCGTGTCAAGGATTACAACCCCCGTGGCACGCTAAAGATCGTTTCTCTGGTTTTCGAAAAAGAGTAGGCTCATTGGGGGCCGCCAGAGAAACCCAAAAACTCTCAAAACCGTTCATACAGTATTTAATTCATACCGCCGAAATATGGCTGAAATATTGCTGACTCGGCGTAAAACAACAATAATCAATCAATCAATCTTCTTTTATTGTCACTATATATATAGGATCAAACTGCAGATAATGCTTTTCTTCCATTCTTTTCGTTGGTATGCCTTTTCAGCCCTGGATATAGGCAAGCTACTTACAGACAAATTGCTCTGGTACTGAAGTACAGCTCTTTATTAAGTAATCAGAATCCTGTGGCTCAGAAGACCAATCAAAGGACTGTACTGGCCCTGTGTGATCCTAAATAACGAGAAGAAAAAAACAGGGGTTTGACAGCATTTTATTAAATGCAATTTTTTATCTATAAAAATGCTACTGATCTGTAGAAGGACACAATTTTTTTATTCAATACATGTACACTGAACCAAACTTCCAAGTGTTCACCTAACATTTTTTTAAGTTATAAAGAACAAATGCATCCAAAAAGTAATTTCTTTAATTTATATTTAATGATGCATATTTCAGTTCGATGTTGCGTCAATTTTATGTAAGTATCTTGTCAGACTTTAAAGCAAAGTGTTAATGACATGGTGTACCCTCAAAATGAAAATTCACATAAAATAATCAGTTTAGAGTAAGTCCACCTCTCGCTCCAATTACTGCAAGACATCGTTTCCTCGTGGGTACAATGTACCTATGAATAAAGGGTTGACTTATCTGCCGACACACCTGCAATATCTTTCTAAATCGTTGATATTGCGTGGAGGGGGGAGGGGGGGTTGACATTCCTATTAAAAATCCTAAATGTGTTTAATGGGAGTCAGATCCGGTGATTTGGCAGGCAAGAACATCACATAGATGCATTATGGTCAACACTAAAACCGCCTTGGGCGTCTCGCACGTCAGTGTACCTCTTTAAGGAGGATTTAGAGTGTTTGAGATGATGTTGAATTGCAATGAGCACCATTTTGTTGCCATTTTCTTGCCATTGAAGTTGCTGATTTAAATCTGTTTCTAAAGTGGTTCAGGACCATGCAACAATTTTTTAACCTGGTTCTGACGCGAAACATTGGCCTCTGACGAAGATCAAGATCACTTCCGGTTTGGTTAAATTTTCTCCAAAGCTTCAAATTGTTGTAAGTTGTCAATGAAAATGACGCGGAACCTATAGAAAAATGTGTTTAATTGGTTTTTTATACTGCTTGTTAATTTTTAAAGTTAATATCAAGGACAATTAAACACTAAAATAAAAGTGAGTGTAATTTGTCATAAGGATGATCCGGATACCAACATTTCAACGGCTCTCCCTCCTCCCTCAATGGTCATTTTGCCCTGGTTTTGTGTTTTTTAAGTAAACCAGTTGTTAAGGATCGATAATGGTCACAAAATACGTGCCACAAAATAGTACTGATTTGATGTTTTTTTAGCTTCGTCACGGGACATTGATTTTCGTCGGTGATATTTGATTTTTGATCGACAATTTTTAAGAAGACTCATTGGTTATAATAATTTGAAAATATCATACCATTCTATCATGTAATTTTTAAATAAAAACATTTCTTAAAGTGAACACTTAGAAGTTTCTTTAAGTGTATATGTGTTTAGTAGAGAAATGGATTTACACAAAACCATTTTTATATATTAGACCATTTATTTATCTATTTATTTATTTATTAATTTTGCAGCAAACAAGAAGATGGTGATAATGTATGGTAAGCTTACCTTAAATTTCCCTGTGAATTCCCAGCTCTTTGAGCCGTCTTCCTTATTGGTAAGACAACAAACGTAGACACAGCAGTCTACTGACCCGGCAGCTAAGAACGATCCATCTGAAAATGAATAGAGTACCTGCAATCTGAGGTGAACAACACTGCTGAGCTCGAACTGACGTATTCATTTCAAGGTTAAGTTGCATAAGGTTGAAAAAAAATTCCCGATAGAAGTTTGAAATTTCTAGAAGTTTCTAGAGCCTCTTGGTAGAGAGCTTCTTAATGCACTCTTGACGTATACATTTCAATGTTAAGTTGCATAAGGTTGAAAAAAAAATCGCGTTAGAAGTTAGAAATTTGTAGAAGTTTCTAGAGCCTCTTGGTAGAGAGTGAAAGACAAAAAATTCTAAACGATGATTGGCATAACTTAAAAACATTGTACATAATTTAGTATGCTCTCTTGTAATGTGTAATATATTTTCAATACACTTATAGGAGAGATTGGATGAAATTCGACTCCACTTTGCTTGAATGATTATGAAACTCTTCACTACTTACCAGGCGAGAATTTAATTGTAGTTATTTTGTCCTTACAGAGTTTCTGATGAAAAGACTCTGTGCTGGAGACACCATCTATGTCAAGGACGATCACACTTAAAATACAAAGAATATATATATATATATATATATATATATATATATATATATATATATATATATATATATATATATATATATATATATATATATATATATTTGTAAATGCATTATGCTGATGGTTGTAAGACTGTAATACATTCAGTGATAATTATCTTACTGTCCATCTCTAGTTCCCAAAGCTAAGTGTTTTCCCAAAGGAAGCGCATCAACACACAGAAACTGTATACCCTAAAAGGGGAAAATAAGTCCTTTCATCAGTCTTAACATCAAGCATTAAAAGATAAATTCGGAAAAAAAAATTTTTAACATGTTAAGACGAGGACGTTATTTCTACCCTTTATGGAAATTAAGGGCAATTGTGAAATTCATCTGTAATAAACCCTATTAAAGAAGCTTATAAACTGTAAACTGAAACTCTAAATTTACTGTCAACTAGAGTCGAAACCGATATTCAAAAATTCGCAAATGAATATAGTATACGGCAAATATTTGAATGTAAAATTAGTTTTCGAATATTGGGTCAAGTCTTATATCTGTATGCAACGCCGTAAACTGCAGCACCTAGTCATTATAAGAAGTTTAGCGTGGGAATAGGAGAATTAGTTTGGTCATATAATCATACAATTATAAGCCAATTTTATTTTGAACAGATTAACTTGTATTTTAGTCCAATCAATCTAGTGTTCTACCCGGAACAAATTGCAACAGAACTATTTTCTTCTCCAGCAGTCTCTAACGTCCTCCCATATATCATATCAAAAGTAAAGAAAATCTAATCGGGCAAAATCTTCCTGATCCACTGGTTATATCTAGTGTGACACATTTTACTTTATATATATGTCTACGTTGACAAGTTTTACATGTAACTGGTAACTGATACAGACCTTCAGTGCCAGTTTACACACTGGGTCCCTGCCGTGTGGATTGAACCAGCACAGAATACCGTCAGTTCCGGCTGTTACTATACTCCCCATAGTCTCCTTCCGGGATACCAGAGCCAGACCCCGCACCTCACTGAAGTGACCCTAGGAAAAGGTAACACACAAAATTCCGTGATATTTATTTGCATCTTGTTCTAGTAATGGCTATTTTTGTACTGGTGATGGGTATTCTTGTAAGAAGCAGTATTCAAAAATTTCTTCACGAGAAGAAGGAGTTTCTTGCTATGACCTACAATTCGATATTTAAATATATTGTCGACGTTTTATCAAATAATGCATGTATTCACTTTTCATTCCTACGTTGGTTCAATGTATCCCTTTGAACTCCTAAAAGACACCATAGAGTCTGATACATGTTTCATATTTAGATATTTTACTATAAAACACATTAATGGCAACTTAACAACAAAACCATATGATAAACATGATGATTTCAACTTTTCTATCGTCAACTTTCCTTATTTAAGTACCATTAATACCTACATATGGTGTTTATGTTTTTCCAGTTGATTCGATTCGCAAGAGCATGCTCTACGTACGAACAATTTCTAAAACGAGGCAAGCTATTGACAAATAAGTTGATGATACAAGGATATCAAAAGTCCCCGTTTAAGTCAACATTTGGCAAAGTCTGTGTCGATACTTTGTATCTTGTTAGCAAATGCCCTCTATCGTAATTGTTAATGTCGAATGACTTGTTAGGCAATTGTTTTCACAGTTAATTGTCTACTTATTTTTCCGTTTGTCCGAACAGTGACAAGGAGCCACTGCGGGTGTGACGGCCGACAGGAGATACTTACTCCTCCATGGCACCTGATCCCACCTCTGATGTTTTAGGGGTCCATGTTGCCCTGCTCCAAATTTGTATTATTCGTTTGAACTTTTGAGCTTGATTACTGTTCGTTATCCTCAAATTTCATTGTATTAATAAAGTACAATGTAGTATTAATGTGGTTATGATGTAATATATTTTGGCACCTTTAATTATTCTATAATAAATAATTTAACAAATGACTATAGCTTAGTTATTTTATTGAAAATCGATTTAAATTTGCTGTTATCTGATTTTCAAATTCAAATATTGTAGTAAACAAATACATGTAACCACATTTGAGAGCTACTGAACATGAGATAAAATTATTAGGGATGTCAAAATATTTATTTTCCTTAGTCGATTATTTGATTGCCTTATTCGAACGATAGGCGAATATTCGGAACATTTTCTGAAAATAAAATTTTATTTGAAACTTCACTGATACATGTCGTATTTATAACTAAATTAAAACCCTTTTACTTAAGTCTATATAAAAAAGTAACATCAAAATGAATGCAACGTAACTCGTGGATAGCATGATTATATGAAATAAATTTAGAAACCTTATTCTCCAGTATGTATGATTACCCTGTCAATTGAATTCATAAATCGGTCTGTACACGAAGTCAGTTTTTTAGTAACAATTAAATTTGCCAGCCGATATTTTTTAAAGCTCATTATGTAATAAAATTGGGGAGGTGGGGGGGGGGGGGAGATCTGACACTATCCACACGTCAGATGCCTGTGAAATTGTTAAACAGTTAGATACCGCTTATTCAATAATTGATTACTCCTGCTATCAAAATGGCCTTATACAGTTTAAAATGTAAGCGAATTGTTTTAATAATTATCGAAGAATCAAAAAATGTCACAGCTATGTTCCTTGCATTTGAGCAATCTAAAAATAACAAACGATAATTGATACATGGAATAAGATCAAGTCCAGTTAATAACTTTACAAACAAAGCCCAGTATATTGGTGGGTAATTTATCACCAAAAACAACACAGTTGTTATTAGATAATTGTCGCAATAGTGCAACACTTACAATGACTGTACTTTCTATACGCGCATGGAAAGGAAATGTTGAGGAAAATTATCTTATCGACTGTCTTTGAGGAAAGACAGTTTCTCAATTTTGTGATGAGAATTCCATCTTGTCATCACTCTTTTATTGCACTTATTTAATTATAATAATATTCGAATGTCGTTTCATTATTCGATCGTCGGTCCATTCGACTGATAGTCGAATAGTCGACTATTCGTTGACATCCCAAAAAATTATTTACAATATCGTATTTAGAGTTAGAACACGGTATTGTAGAGAGCACCAATGAAATAAAATCCACCAATGATATAACATAGCAAATGCATCAATGATATTAATAGAACTTAATCAGCCACCATTCATTAACAATAAAACCATTTTATGGATAGCTTTGTCATCAACTTATGATGGAAAACTGTGTTCATTTTGGTTTGCTAATAATTTTGTGTAATGATTAAAAATAACACAATATGATATTTTATTAAAAGGTTAAATTATTCACTAATGATAATTATATCAAAAATGAATTTCATATCTTTCATGTTACTACCGGGCGTCATACCTGCGTCATGGGAACTTGATCAAGAGTCACATTTTTAAGTGGAGCTTGTTTCTTGGATGAAGTGATTGACAGCATTGAGTTAACTGTAGTACCAATGATAATCACGTCACCATGGAGAACCAAGAGCCTGACTCCACCCTCTGACTTAGGCAGCTAAGTGTTAAAAGATAAAAAAAATACTTCTCAGTTGTATTGATGGAACGATATGACAAAAACAAACAACGAACAACATTTTATTACAAATCTTGTCACTTGTTCTGATTCACCAATCCATCCTGATATTTACTTTATTTATCATATCATTTATATGGTTTATTTCTATAAGCCCATTAATCTCATTTATTAGCTTGCCAAAAAGATTTCACATAGTATTTTACATCTCGAATTAATTCAAGAGATTTAAGATGATGTTAGCTGCAGCAGGAAAATTAAGACAATATCCTCATGTTTGTACCTGTAGCTCGCCGTCCTTCTCCATGTTTTTATTGTACTGCCAGCAGTAAATAAACCCATCCCTACCCCCCGTCACAATGTAGGATCGCATACATAGGACTGTAAACACGGGACCCTACAATGGAAGGATAAAAGTTTTTATGTGCAAGACTTGAATTATAATCTCTTTTTAGGAAGACCTTTGACTATATAAACAGTAAATTAAAGTATTTTGCTCTGATACATGCACATGTATTTAGGATTTAATGTTAAAGGTCTTCAATTAAGAATAGGAGCAGGTATAGGGTATAGCTTGTCCAATGGAACACTGATCGACTCCAATTCATTGTTTTCAAAAGAATTCATTCCGAATGCAAATATTTTTTTAGTTTTTTCCTTCCGTTTATAGTCAATGCTCTCCGAAGCATAAATTTTCCACTTTTGCTGTTAATATTTATTGTGCATATTAATTATGCATAAAGTATTAAGTTTTTGACACATATATATTTAAACTATAAAAAGAGTACGTGCGTAATCGTGGAAGTAGGCGGGACTTACGTCATGGGCGTGTTTGATGAAGTTGGTGATTTTGTTTCCTCCATCCCCCCATACATACACGGTTCCATTAGAGTCCCCGGTCAGTAAGTCTCCTCTGTCATTGTGAGTCAGACATATCACATACTTAGCCTTCAGAAAATTCTGCAATAAACACAGAATGAATGTGCACTTAAGTTATTTTGTATTACTGCATTTAAAGTATACTAAAGTTTCCTGTTACCTTTCGATCATCATCCATCAATTTTTTTCCCACTAGAACCATCAATCATTTTACCAGAACCTTAAGTTCACTTTGATAATTTTAAAGGACTTTAGCTGTAGCGAATTTTTGACAATCTTAAATACAGGCACATAATACAAACGAAGAAAAGAGAAGACATTTTTTTTAAAAATTTTTCTTGTTTGAGTTTTGTACATTGATAGTATCCCATACTTCGTAGTCCGGCTTTGCCAAAGGTTGAATCATCCGCGAATGTGAGTAAATCTTCCACCAGGTCAGATGTTCTTTACCGGAAAGGACTAAAACATCCGGGTATTTTGTGTTAAACTGTAGATCACATATTACCTCTGTATTTACCTTCAATTTAAAAAAAGAGCAATTATAATCTTCATAATAAACTAAATAAATATAGACATTAGCTATTCTGAGCCGAAGTCACAAAGAGCTAATACTATGGTCATTTTGTGGTTCGTGCCAACTTTCTGGAACATCTCAAGAACCCCTTGGCTAATTTTGTCAAATTTGCCACAGGGTATTCTTGGCCTTTTGTTTATATTAAAAATAGGAAAGTGACCCTAAACAAGGGGAGATAATTAGGAAAATAAGAACAAGAAAGTGGTTGCTAAAAAATCTTCTCAAGAACCACTTGGCAGATTAACACCAAACTTACACATCAGAATAAAGATATATTGCAGATTAAATATGTTCAAGGCATCATCCTAGGGCAAAGGGCGTGGTCTCAAGGTCACTTCAAAGTTGACTTAAATTGACATTTTGTTAAAACACTAATAATTGTGTTGGCAGTTGATGCACTTTAAGACCTCTGATATCTTGGCCCAAAAGAAGGTCACTGTGACCTACTTTTTTTTCATTTTACAGCTATTCATTTTCATGTTTTAGATGCTTGGGCAAGGTGAGGCTTAAGGTCATGAAAAAGGGTTTGGCAACGAAAAAAAGGTCACTATGATTAATTAATTGCATTATTGTCTTTCGGCAACATACAGGACACAAAACACATAGAACAAATAAAATCCCTGAACTTCATCAAATAGTTCATAAGCGATCAATCCTCTTTATAATTTTTGTTTGTGCCAATACCAATACTTACCACGGTGTCCCCTTTGAGTTCCCCTGAGCTGACGTCCCAGAGGGTCAGGCGTTTCTCTGGACTGTCGTCCACGGCCACTAAGAGGTCCTGTTATGTGCGTATAATAAGTAGATTTAAGACTTTTAATAATCTTTTTTCACAAAATATGTAATTCACATGTTAAATTTTGTACACGCTTAAGGGAATCGACTGGGGTTTTATTGTGTGAAAACTACTATAGAGAAACTCTTTAATTTTATACCATATATACCTTACATTGACTTCAGTATACATGCAAAGTTTAGTGAAAATCTACCATCTGGTTATTTTTTAGGGACCATTTCAAAATACAAGTACATTTACAATAGGATTATATAGGAAAATACCATTTTTTTGCACTTCGGAGCAAATTATACAAATGCTACTATAGACTTTTTGCTCATATTATATCATTTGATGGTTAATACTATATTGTACATTTTATGCAAGAAACAGAAAATTCTATCGTCTGGTTTCCAGAGGGGGCATCTAAAAATGTCAAAATTCATGGAGTACAACAAAACTTTTCAGATACCACAAATTTACATAAAAAATACTACTAATGATAGCGAGATTCTCAATTTCCTGTGTTTAAAATTTCAAGAGCATCTATTTTATACTTTTTTTTAATGACATAATTAATGACCCCGCTTAAAGAACTTCGGTTATTCATAACGTCAAAAACACACTATTACGACGTCTATCTACCCATCATTTGAAAAATCGTTTAAAAAATTTAGAAATGTAATTAGATTTTTTAACCTGAGATTTCCCAAATTTGTTAATTTTTATAAATTATGTAAAAATAGTTGCTTTAACAGAGTAAATATGCTTGATTTTACTATGCTGCGTGAAGTATTGCGCAATGAAAACCCCAGTCGGCCCCCTTAAGGTCTATTAAATAAAGAACAGGTAGAGATTTTTTTTCTACATACATGTGATTTTTTTAATTGACTTTATTGTAACAAATGTGGATGAGCGCTAGCGGATTGCAATAGATTTGTCTACCTTGTCCTATAATTTTTTTTTTAATTTAAAGTATTTACCAAAATTTGCATTCAAATTCTATGTGGAATTCCATTTATTCAAGCTGCGAGGGAATACAAGAGACTTACAGATGACCCAGAGAACGCCATTGCCAGCACTGACTTTTGATACATCCCAGCACCGATCACGTGTATTGTTTGCAATGTGTCAGCTCGCCATACCCGGATGTGAGCCTGCAAAAAGTGTAATGGCAGCATAAATCTCTTTTGTTTTAAAAGGCACTGAAATGTTTTAAATAAACTAATCCTTAGAAAAAGAAATTGCTAACTAATATGCAAAATGTAAGTCTGAACACAAACACATTGAAAGGTACTTAAAACTGTATTGCTGGTAAATTATTGAAGATTTACTTGATTTTGAGGGTTGGTTATGCTGGTTAATTATTGATAATTTACCTGGTTTTGAGGGTTGGTTTTGCTGATAAATTGCTGATGAATTACGTGATTTTAAGGATTGGTTTTGCTGGTTAATTGTTGATTTATCTGATTTTGAAGGTTGGTTTTGCTGGTAAATAGTTGATGATTTACCTGGTTTTGAGGGTTGGTTTTGCTGGTAAACTGTCCAGTCGCCACTGTATTTCCGTTCGAGTGAACATTCAAACTAAAATGAGATCATAAATTCAATTAGAATTATTAAAATGGAATAATTAAAAGTATAAGAAAGAAAGTAACCTTTAGTAATAAAAGCAGTAAAATCTGTTAAAGGAAAATCAATTCAGTCAATTTTTTATAATGTCTACTAGAAAGATCTAGCATATATTATAGCCTGGATTTAAGGAAAGGGAATGAACTTTTAATTTTAATGTCTTGTTCCATGCAGCTGAACTTTTAATTCTAATGTCTTGTCCCAGCTGGTTTTAAATGAACTGCTCACCTTAGCCTATTCATTCAGTTTTTTACCAAGTGAGCTGCTCAATGTAGACCTATTTGTTCATGTATTTACATAACAGCTGGTTCTAAATAAACTGCACACTGCAGGCTTATTCATTCAGTTATTTTTCCTGTGACTGATGATGACAAGGAGCCCATGGCGGATGTGACCCGTCGAAAGGGAATGCTTACCCATACATGGCAAATGATCCCACCTCTGATGTTTTTAGGGGCCCATGTTTGCTCTGCTCCCGATTTGTATTGTTTCTATGGATTTGTTTGCTTGACTACTGTTCATTATCTACATACTTAGTCACTTAACAACTTGATCTAAAAGAACAGCTAACTGCAGACTTATTCATTCAGTTATTGACCTAACAACTCCTTCTCAATGAACTGCTTACTGCAGGCTAATTCATTCAGTTATTTATCTAGCAACTGGTTTCAAATGAACTGCTCATTGCAGGCTTATTTCATTATTTTCCAAAATATTATTTTTCAGGCTTATTCATTCAATACTAGTTTTTTTTACCCTAACAACTGTCTCTAAATAAACAGCTCATTGCAGGGTTGTTTAATTATTTTCAAAAATTAATACTATTTTCCAGGCTTTTTCATTCAATACCATTTTTTTTTACTCCAAACTTGTTCTGCTCTCTGTAGGTCAATTCACTCTGTTATTTACTAAATGCTTTTAAATGAATTGCTTACTGCAGACTCACTCAGTTATTTACCATACAACTGCTTCTAAATGACCTACTCACTGTAGACTTACTCACTCAGTTATTTACCATACAACTGCTTCTAAATGACCTGCTCACTGTAGACTTACTCACTCAGTTATTTACCATACAACTGCTTCTAAATGACCTGCTCACTGTAGACTTACTCACTCAGTTATTTACCATACAACTGCTTCTAAATGACCTGCTCACTGTAGACTTACTCACTCAGTTATTTACCATACAACTGCTTCTAAATGACCTGCTCACTGTAGACTTACTCAGTTATTTACCTTACAACTGCTTTTAAATGAATTGCTCATATCAGCTAATTCATATAGTTATTTACTGAACAGACTTATTAAATGAGTAATTAACCTAAAAACTGGTTCAAAATAAACTGCTTGCAGACTTTATTCAGTTCCTTACTAAATAAACTAGTTCTGAGTTAACTGCTGTCAGATTAATACAGTTATTTACTTATGCTCAATTAGACTAAGATAAATCCCACTCTTTTATTTGATTTCTAGGAATCAAATTCGGAAGTCATTTAATTGTTATTTTACGCATATTCTATTTTGCATTTTAAAATTAGACGTTCTTTTGATTAAATTAATTGCATTATTTTTCTTATGTTGAATGGCTTATATTAAACCTAATTAAGGTCAAATAATTTAAAAGTAGCATTTAGATTAAAAGCTCTTTAAACTAACTTTAAATTCAAAATTACATCATTTGCACTGAATTATTTTTTCAACATAATTTTCAATTCACCTGAGTTTCCTAAACAGTAGCGAACAATTTTTTTTACAAAGAGTCATATAATTATGACAAGGACATAGTTACCATTTGATGTCCTCGTTGTGTTCACGATAATGTCTTTGTTTGTGTGTCTGTCTGCTATACAACACTGCGATGTTGGAAATAAAGTACACAATCTCATCTGATGCAAGAACGAAAATGTTACTACGACAATCGTTTCCACGGTAACCATATCTATAAGAAAAATTAAAAAGGAGTTCAAATCAGACTATATCTGATTACAATTTCATCTTACTTTTTTTAAAAGCCTTCCTAAAGAAGCTACATAAAGAGACTTGCACAATGTCATACCTTTCAAAAACCAAAAGAAGTTACATAAAGAGACTTACACCCAATCTAACTTCAGTCTGTGGGTGGGCGGATCAAGAATCAATGGGTTGTTATTGACATTACACGGCGGCTGGAAATCTATGCTTCGACCTTTTACCGTGATTGAAAATGTCAGTTTTTCATTCTTAGGGATATGCTGTAAAGCTAAAATGATGATATTTGTGGAAAAAAATGTCAATTTGTACCAATTAATGAAAGATACCTATAAGACTACTTTGAATTACTTTGGAAGCACAAATTTTCGTGGGGGGAAATATTTAGTTAATTTGTAATATTTCACACTACATTTAGCATCACGGGCACAAAATACGAAGTATTTTTTTCCGTTTTCTTTATGCATCGTCAATTATATGAAAAATTAACAATTATAACATTCAAGCTGAAGGAAATTTTGATAAAATGTTGGAGTACACAACACCTTTCTTTCGAAAGTAATTTATAATTTGAATTATTGTTTTTAGAAGTTACATGATGAATCGGTGACTGTTCCAGGTATTTCACAGCACGATAGTACAGGCGCGGATCTACAAGGTTTTGGTGGACTTGGTGGAGCAGAATATTGTGCATTGCTCTCCGCCGTATAAGAATTGGACGATTCAGACATGACGTCAGAGGTATGTGATGACGTATTTTGGATTTTAGTGTCGTTATCTGTGAATCCATTTTCCAAACCAGCCGTCTTCAAGTCTGGCTCTGATTTTCTCTTGCCTAAAAATGATTGGAAAACCGCATTTAACTTTTTTAAGGTTTTGTTTATGACAAATGTTTGCAAACTGAAAAATTTTTGCTATAAATAAAAATATAAAGAAGACAAAAACTCACCACCAAAATTTCGCAACACCTTATTTTTCTCGAGATAGGTATTTGGTATTTTTAAGCGAGAGAAATTTTCACGAATTTTGGGTATTGTTGTATATAATTTATACTTATAAAATATATATATATATATATATATATATATATATATATATATATATATATATATATATATATATATATATATATATATATATATATATACATGCTTGAATGAAATGTTCGCGAGCAGACCATCTCGCACAATTAGGCAAAAACAAAGTTTTGCGAATAAAAAGTGATTTACAGTATATGCATGATTGTTCGATATTAATTTGGGCAAATTTAAGATATGAACTTCATCTTGTATTGTATGTTCTTTTTGGGTTGTTTTTAATTTTTTCTTTGTAACAGGTGTAACATATATTCTATATCAAACAATACTGCTGTATATTTATGTTGTTTTTTTACTTCATTGGCATGTGTAATAAATGCTCTCTTTCAATTCAAAGTATGTTGTTATCATCTTTTGGCAAAAAACAGAGCAGTGTAGATTCTGGTAGAAAAAGGAAGAGAGAGTATTTTAAGTTAAAATAGGCGATGGTATAAGTGTAAAATGTGTGAATGAATATATAAATAGTTTAAACATATTGTGAAGCTAACGGATATAACGAATTACGTTTATAACGAAGCAAATTCGCCAGTCCCTGGCACTTCGTTATAAGCGTGTTTTATTGTATATATATATATATATATATATATATATATATATATATATATATATATATATATATATATATATATATATATATATATATATATATATATAAAGAAATTATTAATTAAGGAATCACTGTCTAGTTAGTAGAGTATGCCAGGGCATCAACGATAGTTGGAAACATGGGATAATTTGCATAACGGGCGAAGCCCGTTATGCATAAATTATCCCACGTTTTCAACTATCGTTGATGTCCCTGGCATACTCTACTAACTAGACAGTGATTCCTTATATTTCCATTTCATTGTGAAATAAAATTGTAAATTTAGATTTTAAAAATGTAGACTAATAGATTTAAATTACACGAGATCTCACATGTCAATTTCAATAGTCCCCGCCCACTGACGTTCAATAGTCCCCGTCCACTGACGTCAAACACAAAGACAGCCGCACGAGATTTACATGCATATTAGGCCTTCTTAGCTCCTGACCTTTCGCTTGGCGAAATTTACATTACAATAGAATGATCAAGAAATCAACTCTCCTAACTTTCAAAGAGTTATCACAGAGAAAACAATTAGAAATGGAAATATATAAGGATTAACCGACTACTGCCTAAAAATGAACAAATATACATGTACATCGCCTTGATCGTGAGCTCATGATGGTTTCCCTGTAAAACATGTAAAAGTATAAAATTCAAGTGCATGGAAATAAAAAATGAAGGAATAATTGTTTTATTGATATTTGGAAAATTTTTGTCAAAGCCTAGTAAATGACCTAACAAAATTGTATTGTTGTGGTCAATTAAATCGATGTTCTTTGCAGTGAGAAATTACTTATTTGGAGAAACAATAAACAAACTAACAAAATTAGATTAAAAAAAAATAAAATAAAATATGCGATATATTTACATTTTTAAACAAAATAAGAATGATGTCATTCAACCTTATTTGTGGAAGCTTATATATTTTGTCTAGGAACAATTAAGAATCTGCTACTTGTAGATTTTGAGACTGTTTTGTCTTTTTATGCAAATGCTTTATTTTTGCCTCTCATCGATTGGAAGTTATCTTTGTAAATTTTTTATCTGGATTTTTAATTAGTAAAATGTCTATATTGGGTAACATACATGTAGAAAAATTATTTATCATTAGGCAGGGTAAAGATGAAGTCGTGGTACGATTGAGTCGCGGTTAGAATATTCGAGTTTTAGGAAGTATACCTCCTTCCTGTAAAAATAATTCTCTAGAACGATGCACACAACTACAACTGACAGAAAACTGACTTGATTTCTTCTAGAAAGGACAACAGTGAAAGCAAATAAAGTTTTATAATAGTTACTTATACACACAGCATGTACCTGATATAAAAAGTTTTACAGTATTGAGAAATCCCGAAGACGTCTTCACTAAGTTTGTGACACGACGCATATCTAGCAAAAGAAGTATAGATTTGTGTGAAGGACAGAAAAATACATCAAAAGTGAGAAAGTGCTGATTTTATAAATAATAGTAATGTGCCTTGAGTGAATGTGTGTAAAGGTAAAGTCTTAATGAGGAAACCTTTATCTTATAAATATAACGTACTTGCCACTATTCTCTTACGATCCGGATTTACTTCTTCCTCCCTCACTGGTTTGACTTCTGTGTTTTCCCTACAAGAAATATCGCCATTCAGCTCTGTGGTCTTCAACGGGTCTTCATCTTGTTTTGTTGAAGAAGCTCGGTCTTTCACCATTGAGACCTGTTTGACAAATATGCTTTGAAAATTCAGGCAGACTAGAGTTAGGCCATTCCAAGTTTTTTCTCTGTTTAGCGTCCACCCATCTTTCAAAAACTTACCTACCTATTCGCAAAAAACACACAAACCAAAAAATAATACACAGACTTTACAGTCATAAAAATGACGTCACTCAAAGGATTTGATTTCATTAATCTATTTTTCTCGTTAAAAAAAACTCCATTCTTAAGCAAAATCAAAGCATTCAATGCTTACTATATTCCTAATATGATATACTGTAGACAAATATATTGAGAAATTGACAGAATTCAGTGATTTTGACCAGAATATTCAATTTGAGGACTCATGATTTTGTTTGTTTTTTGTGATATGGGGTGTCAAAAATCAAGGCGCACGTGGACGCTAAACATAGAAAAAACTTGGAATGGCCTTAATATTTAAAAAACACATTTATTTTGAAAAGAATAATTTTTACTTTTATCGTATGTAATCTCAAGTCAGTGATTTCATGACCAAACATTGTTCATCCGCTGTTAAAACAACGCCGCTGATATTCTCAGTTTGGAAATAAAAACCCACTTTCTGAAAATTGTTTAAATGTTTTTCTGATGTTAATAGTAACATGTTTATGAATGTTTTACCTTTTTACGTAGTTTACTGACAAGCCTGGATTTGGTCTCCTCTGAGAGTTCATCAATAGGAGAAGGGGTGACAGGTGCTCGAGATTTGACCTTCAGAGGAAGGTCACAAAGGCTGGGACATTTTGCCTGCGCGTTCTGTTGTGAGAGATCGAGAAAATGGAGGAACTCAGGCCAGCTGCAATACAATTGTATGGCACGCCAATATCAGAGCTATATATAGTTTTACAGAAACTAGGTAAATTTATTGTAAACTATATCGACTAGGTTACGGAGCATATACTATAAATAATGATTTGTTATCCATGGATTTCTTAAGTAAAACTTTCTCTAACAGTTGTAAACTTTTGTTGAGGAATGTTAAACCAGTCTTATCTGCCTGTGAAGAAACGTTAATGATTGTTTTTGTTGATAATCTAAATCCTAAATTTTCAGCTATAGTATTGCATTCGTTAATCATAGTTAAGAGTTGTTAATAATAGCTGTTTTACGTGAAACTCTATCAGATTTGTTCACTATAGTTTAGAGTTGTTAACAATAGTTTAGAGTTGTTAACAATAGTTTAGATTGTTAACAATAGTTTAGAGTTGTTAACCATAGTTTATTAATCGAGAAATTGTATTTATCAAAATTTGTTAACTTTAGTTAAGAGTTGTTAACTATAATAGTTTATTAATCGAGAAATTGTAATTATCAGATTTGTTAACTATAGTTTAAAGTTAACCATAGTTTATTAATCGAGAAATTGTATTTATCAGTTTTGTTAACTTTAGTTTAGAGTTGTTGATTATAGTTTAGAGTTGTTAATCATAGTTTATTATTCGTGAAATTGTATAGATCAGTTTTGTTAAAGGGTTTTTATCACGTCTCAAAATTTTTTGATATGACAAAGTTTACATTTTATTAAAATCATATATTTAAAAATCTTTGCTAGAAAATTAATATTGTTGATGTTTCAGCGATTCAAAGTTTGAATTTCTCAATATAAATATTTTGATCGCTGATGCTATGCGCCATTGCTCTGGCGTCATAGGTGTCAATCCGGGTCAAGCAAAGTACTTATTGTGTATACAAAACGGCTCATTTGTTGTGTCTATTAAACCTGTTAGTAAATAAATTAGTGATAATTGAATAATTGACAGCTAGAAAGGTATAATTTGTGGCTCCAGGATGCACAAATGCGCACAATAAAGGTTTTAGGAAGACTTTTTTCACATTTCCTGCACTTGGTCGAGGAGTGAAAGGGGGCCCTTTTTCTGCAAACGCGAGGACTTTGTCTCCATTCAGAACAATCGTTTATGCCCGATTATTTCTGTACTATAAACTATTTTAAGGACATGGTACCTTTAAAAAAAAACAAACACCAAAAAAGCACCATGCATTTTTAAAATCGCACAGAATCTAGTACATGCTAGTAGGAATGTTGTGAACTTCGTAATGGCGTACGGTGCCTTGAACATGTTGAACAGGTTGAAGATGATATTCACTGGAACAGATAGAATATTTATATAGAGTTTATTAAAACAATGAAGAAGTTGAATTTAAAATTCTCATATTTATAAATATTTACGAAGACTTATTCGTTCTATTTAGTCGGAAGTCCCAAGTTGTCAACGGCTTCGTCTTCGGTGTCCTCTCCTATTGTCGGCATATATTCTTGGTAATTTCTCTCTGCTAGACGTTTATACATAAAAGATTGAACGTCTATAACTAAAAGAATATCGTCGATGTCAAAATTTCCACCGATCTTATTATGTAGTGCATATTATTTAACGTCAAAATCTATTTGATACATTTTTCTTACGATAAGTCTTATGAGTTCTAATTGACCATTGACACCTATGACGTTTCAGTACTACGTGACCCCTATCTAATTTTCACTTCGAGAACTATATATTACGGGCGTTTTATCGCCTAATTATGACTGTTTTCAAACTTATTTCATAATTAAACAATAATTATATGTTTCAAGAATATAATAGTGTTTCATTTAAAAAAAAAATAGATACGTGGTAAAAACCCTTTAACTATAATTTAGAGTTGTTAACCATAGTTTGTTAATTGTGAAATTGTATAGATCAGTTTTGTTAACTATAGTTTAGAGTTGTTAACCATAGTTTAGAGTTGTTAACTATAGTTTAGAGTTGTTAACCATAGTTTATTAATCGTGAAATTGTATCAGATAAGCTATGTCTTGCATTTGTAAATAATTGTTTTCACCGTAAAGTATAGTTTACACTATATACACTTATAGCATATAGTAAATTTACAAAATAATTACTTTTTTTAAAGTCTGAATCAGAGATAACTCGGAATATGTTACTTATAATCAAATTATTTGCTTTAATTAACAAAATGAATGGATCAGATTCCCAAATTTTGGAAATGTGTGATCAAATCCTAATTCCTTAGAATTTCTTATCATTTGAATCACTTGTACCTCATTCAATACAAAAATGCATCAAATAGGCATGGAATGAATCAGTAAGTGTATCAATTACAATATTTACAAATATGAAATGGAAGTGTGGCATTTCAGTTCGAATTTCCTTAATACAACTAATTAATACGTAAAATTTGTCATTTCAATAATCTAATAATAAATAAAATAACACTCATCAAACTTTATAAGTACCTGAGCATAACATAGTATTATAATTTAATTCTGGTTATAACGCAGTATTTGATTGGATAAAAAATAAAGTAAAACTTTTAAAACTATAGAAACTTTTCAGTATCAGAATGTAAGCCACGAGAATAGTAATGTCAGTGACCTGAAAGTTTATATAGCTACTAGTATATCATTTAAGAATAATTAAAACTCGGTTTAGGAATCTAACTTTTTGATGACGTTAGTAAGTGTACATAAAGTACCTGAATAATATAATGCACACAAACTGTACAGAGGGAAGCCTTAAAAGTCTCATAATGGAGCCGTCCTTTTTTTTTTTTTTTTTTTTTTTTTTTTTTTGAGGAATTTGGTAAAATTCAATGTCACACCAGCTGCAGCTATATATATGATAAGAACCATGTATACCTAATCATATTGTTGTTTTCCTCGTCACAGCGACAGAGCAGGGCCTTGAGCAGAGCACCATAGAGGGGGGTCTGATATCGGCTACATACGTCATCAACCTTCAAAAAAAGATAGCTTGTTGTACCAAAGCTAGAAATCTGATTAAAATGGTGTGTTTCTTTTACTTTTTAAACTTTAATTTGATGTCTTTATTTTGACATAATTTGGTCTCCTATTTTATGAATACAATTTATACATGTATACAATTAAATTTAACATTGATTTTTACCTTTGATCTTCTGAATTTATTGATTCTAACGTCTGTTTGTAAGCCTCAGTAATCATCATTGATGTTTTTAACCATAGCCAATTTTAGATATATAGAGTAGGCAATATGTTAAATCATGCACATTTTTATACATGTAATCAAAACAATCAAAAGCGTTACGGTGAGAAACAATGAAAAGAAAACGCCTCCTGTTTCCTGTAATCAACCCCCGCCCCCCCCCCCCCCCAAAAAAAAAAACTGTATCTCACAGGTATACCTTATCTGGTTTACAGGCCCAATTATTATAAGTTTTTTACACACTTGCGTAGACACAAAGTTCTGATAAATACAAAATATCAAACATTTATCAATCAGTAAAAAATGTGGGTCCACAATGGGCTTTCAAAGTTTTAAATAGGTGTTTATGGGAAAAAAGCTTTAAATCTTCCTCTCAAGAACAACAAAGCCATGGTTATTCACATTTAAATGGAAGCATCCTCAGGTAGTGTAGATGCAAATTTAATCCCCAGGGGTATAGGGTGTTGCCACAAAGGGCAAATTATAATACATAGGCATTATATAAAAGAAATCTTCAAAAATATTCTGAACAGCAAATCCATGATTAATCATATTTATATGGATACACTGGGCTGTCAATGTTTTACATAGGAGTTCATATCGGAAAAAATCTTTAAAAGTCTTCTCGAGAACAGCAAAGCAATGATTTCTCATATTTATATGGAAACATCCTAAGGTAGTGTAGATTCAAGTTTATTGAAACCATAACTTCGGGGTTAAAGTGGGGCCACAATATGTGATCAAAGTTTCACTTTGAAATATATGGGGGGGGGGGAATCTGCTGCTGAAAAATAGCAGGGCCATGGTGACTCAGGTGATCGATGTGGCCCATAGGCCTCTTGTTTCCGCTATCATCACAGACATTCAAATTTCAAAGTCAATTGTTAATTTTTAATTTTATATTGCCACATTCGGAGGGGGTGCATATTTGTTTCTAAAACATTTCCGCTTAAAATGTCCCAAGCTGAAGATTCTATATCTGAAGGATTGTTTTTTTTTAAGACAAAAATGAATTCATTCAATAATCAAAGCTTGAATTTTGCCAGACATTATGATCTCATGCATTAAACTTATAAAGGCCAAAAAAAACCCAAACAAACAAACAAAACAAAAAATACAATAGTTGTGTATAGTTCACTAAAGTAACTATAGTTTGATATAATATCAGCATTTTAGTATTATAAATACTACTTTTACTGTAGGAAATCATTTTTTATTATGAATTTCAAATTGTTGCATTTTATTTTCTCTGAGTCTTATTTGCATTTTTGTATAAAGATCACAGAATACTCCAAATTTGGAGAAAGTGGGGATTTGATAATATACCTTCTTATTTTCTGTAGTTTTAGGGTTCTAATTACCTTGAACATTGTAAAATTAGAGAAATTTGTGCTCATTTTGGGAAATTTCAATTTTTTCATGCTTTTGTTATTAAATATTAAAGTTGAGAATTGGGGAGGATGAAAAAATAAAGCTGGTTTGATGAGGAAATTTTGTTATAACTATGAGTTTTAGCAATAATTAGGCTTGCACAAAGTCTTTTCCAGATTTCTATAACATAATTTTTTGAGTATCCCATGTCCTTCAAGGAAAATATAATGTATACCACATATTGTTATAATTAAAGAGATATTAAGGTCTTAAGGAGGCTGGGGGGTCAACAAATTAACCATCAGTTATAACTTAATTTTTTAGATATGATATCTTGAGCTGTCAACTATCATTTGGCAAAGAAAAAATTCATACATTTTAGTTTTAAAATTTGATCATTTTTGTATATCTTTATATGGAGCTCTTCTTCTAAAGGAGATCAATATAGTCTGAAAATGGCCACAACCCCCCAGCCCTCTTAAATCTCAAAAATGTTTTAGAGTTAAGTGTCATGCAGTTCACATTCTTTCGTGTTAAGGCATGCACTCCTCAGCTTTTGAGAAAAGTTTGGTCAGAACCTCTAACTTCAAAATTATTCATTACAATTCTATTGTATGACATATTTGAATTAAGCAATGAGAATTATACAATTTTTAATTTGAAAAACTGCACACCAAATTGTAAAGAATCAAGATTTATGGAGGACTACTATAGTATTTCTTGTGGTGGAAGAATACTTAGGAAAAAATTCTTAAAATCTACACATTTGTTTGATTTAATATCTTGGAACTTTAACCCTACATATTTTTACTCAGAGAATTTTTTCGATATTTATGCTAGGAAAAATAAATAAAAGTATCAATAATTCTAAAACGAACTTTTCAAGATAAAACTCAAATTGTAATTACACGCTACATTCAACAGATCAACATTAAGGTCATAAAAGGCTTGATACAAGAAAATATTTTATTGCTTATCTAGATTTTGAATACCCCAAATTTGATATTTTCTTAGTGCAGAAAGGTCACACAACAATGCATTTATGTGCATTAATTTGCAGGATTTTTTTTCAATAATAAACATTATTCAAACTATTTTACATAAAATTAGATAAATTTATGGCCATGATTACATTTGGTAAAATATGATAAAGGGTAAAATGATTAAAATTTAATAAAAATACAATAATTATTTAAATGCTATATGAGTAGTTTTCTAAACTATTCTTCTCAAAAAATCGTTGACATGACTCATCTCACGAGGGACACACCTTAAATTGAGAAATATATGCCTCAATGTATTTTTCCTATGAATACATTCTCAAAAACTCCAAAGAACTCTTAGACAATTTCAAATCGCAAAATTTTTCAAAAGCAAGCAACACCAAAACATGCAATCGAGTTTCCTACACTTAATACACCTACATGTACTCCTCACGATGAATTAATTTTGATATCATAGATTACGCTTCTTTAACAAAAATGGAAGTCGGAAGTTTTCGTATCTTGTGATTGTCATGAACAAAATTACTTTGTGAAAAATACTCTGATTTACTCAAAAGTACTCTGAAGTTGATATTAAAAGGATGCTGGGTTTACTCATGCATGATTACATTTATGTAGTCTTCGGAAACTAGGTTTGATGGTCACTAATTATTTTCCTTTATTATATTTTTTATATTCCTATGAAACAGACTTTAAACAAAACCTTCTACATGAGAAGAAGAAGACACTTCCTGTGGACTTCATATCGACATTTAAATATTTTGACGACGTTTTATCAATTAACAATAGTTACTTTCATTCATATATCGACTCAATATATCTCAGTTAACTTGAAATAAAAGAAAACACATCTGTTTCATATTTGAATGTTTTACTGACTATAGACCACAAGAGCCACTACATGTAACAACTAAATTGTATGACAAACGAAATAACTTAAGCTTTTCCATCATCAACTTTCCTTATTTATATAGTAATATTTCGTTATCACCTGCATATGGTTACATCTCCCAACTCGGTACTCAAGAGCATGTTCTGATTACGATAATTTTTTAAACCGAGATAGGCTACTGACAAATAAGCTAATGTAACAGGAGTTTTAACTACCTTGTTTAAAGTCTGCATTTCGATAATTCTAGGTCGTTATAATGACCTTTTTAAACCTATCTTTGGGTCGTTTTTTGGCTGATGTGTTTCATACCAATTGTTAGGCCTTTGTTTTTATACTAAATTTGACTACGGAATTTTCCGTCTACTTGATTGATACATATGGATTAAGCGGGTGTGACCGGTCAACAAGGGATGTTTACTCCTCCTAAATACCTGATCCCACCTTTGGAATTTCCAGGGGTCGTGTCTATGCCCTCTTCACAGATTTGTATTTTATATGCTTTTGAGATCGATCACTATTAATTTCACCTTTTTCATTCACCTTTTTCATGATATATATGTAATTGATACGCAACAGCAACATTTGCATGATAGATGGTACCTCATTTCTGCTTATTTTGCCACTTTTATCCTTGTCTATTGACCGGAAATTCTGTCGAAGGGCCTCTATGTCAAAATATTCTAGGTTGTCAGTCAGTAGTTGTTCCAAACGCTGAATTAGATTGGCGTCTCTCTCCTCTGAAGTCACTTCCGCCTTGGTTTCAAGATCATTTCTTCTCTGCAAAGCTACCACACTATCTCTACCTATAAAAATTAAAGCGTAAAAAATCTGGATTTATTTTTGTGTCGCCTGCAGAGCAGAGCGACACTTAGGGATTACTTTACCCGGCATCTGTCTGTCTGTCCGTATGTCTATCTCATATCTGGAGAGCTTTAAGAGGTATGGATTTTATATTTTGCACATATATTACTTGGCATAATGGCTTTTCTAATTTACCATGGTTACTGACCTCATGACACTTGATCTTGACTTTTGACCTACTTTTCAAAATAATGCATAGTGATGATATACAGCATGTGACATTTAAGAGGTTAGTCTATGTTATTTAGTACTGTTTGTCATAAAACATGAAAAATACCAGCGTTACAATCCACTTGACCTTGACTTTTGACCTACTTTGCTAAAAATTCTCCAGACAGTTTAGTTTAACGTAAGTCTTTTGAATTTTGAGAGACAGGGTTTTGATAATTATACATTTTTTGAATTCATGATACTGTTCTTTGAAACTGTATGACATTCAGTTACCACACCAACTTATACTATGAAAATACATCGGGATAGGTATTCCACAATGGGCCATGTAGTTTGACAAATGCAGTTAAGACAGACTGTAATCTCCTTTGAAGGATACTAACAAAATGATAGATAATTATTTTCAATAATTTCAATTTACCCATTCATATGAGGGTTACGGAACCATGTTTTCTTTGATTGTTCTGTGATTGTTCAGATTCTATCACAGTCTTATACTATCCGTTTTTTGTTTTGTTTTGTTTTTGTTTGTCTGGGTTTTTTTTGGGTTTGTTTGTTTTTTGTTGTTTGTTTTTTTTTGTTTGTTTGGTTTTTTTTTTTTTGCATGAACTATATTGCTAGTTATAAATTTTTAAAAAACTGACCACTCTTCGATTTATTTACATCTTTATTGAAGCTGCAAAGCAGGCGACACACGCATTCCCTGGAACACTCTAGTTAAATTTTGAACAGCATGAATTTTTAACTATTGTCCAAGCACATGGTTGATAATTGGTAACATAAAATAATCTTTGAAACATCTATTAAGGTTAATATCTTAAATCAATTAACAAAGATCAATATGTCAACTTTCATTACGATCAATTATAATAAATGCATGCAACTTATTTTCAATATAAGATTTTTCCAGACATAAATCAATTTTAAATTGATATATTGAGCATGATTTTACAATTTCTCTGATTGATCAATGATATATGTACAAAAACACAACACACAATAAACGATGCATAATTTGTACGTGAAAAAAACCATGATTTAATTTTTACTTTTATGCTTCCTTGTGTTTAATTTTTAAATTTAATCTCTAGATTTACTCTGTCATGCAATATCTACATCCAAATGTTAATCAAACAGACAAAAAGTATCATTTTCCTTTCGTCAAAAGATGACTGCACATAAGGACATACAAAAAAATGCGACAATTAAACTTTCAAAATGAACAGTTTTCTTTAAATTGCAGGAATGTTCAAATTTTAATCTGCAAATTTAATTAGTTACATTAATTAAAAATTTGTATTTACGAGGTGTGGAACCGTTTTCATTGGAAGGGGTCATGATTCTCTATATTGTTTTTACTAAATTGATATGAGCGCATACATCTGTTGTTTTCCATTTAATGGTAATATTCAGGTTTGTATGAAAAGGAGATGGCCAGAAAAATATGCGCTCATGGTGTAGTAATTAGGCATTGATTTACGGTCACTTGTTACTGCGTCTGTGATGTGTATTTCTTGTAGATATCATTTTGAAACCTTTGTTGATACTGCTGCAATAGAGTACAGTCATCCCCTACTACTCAACGAAGTGACGTATAGTAAGATCAATAGAACTTAAAAAACAAGTCAGACTGCTCCCCACGTACCACATTCCTTTTTTGTTAGAACATATTTTATTATATAAAAGAACATAAAATGATTAATCACTAAGGATTGCCAAGATAAGCCCGGACAACAACAGGCCCCAGGATCATGAAACATCTTAAGCTTAAATCAAAATATTTATGTTGTACTAAAATGTTGTAAAAGTCAAGCAGTCCAAACTTAAGCTAATTTTGTTCTATTGCTTAACAAAAGTGTTGTTATCTGCAAATATAAAGATTAATTCAATAATTATTAAACATTTTAAAGACAATAGAAAATTTGACTTAAATCTAAGTCTATTCATGATCCTGGGGCCTGCATGGACTCCAGTTTTCAAAGCCTACTGAACAATATGTCTGGTACATGTAACTGATATGAGTCATTCGTCATTTTTTCGAAGATGCACCATAAGAAAAAGTTTTTTGACAATTGATTAAAAAGTACATGTATGTATTTAATCATAGTAAACTTATTAGGTTAACTGGTTTTTCTTTCCTTACACCTAAATATTAGCTTGAAATATCATGTATCGGGGGTTATGGGACATTGAAAGGTGGGTTTAATTCCACTAATGTTATAATGATAAATCCCCCATGGTACACATGACCTTCAGGTATTACAGGATTCAAATCTCCAAAGCCTACTGGACAACATGATCAAATCGTTTAGTTCATGAGAACTAGAGATATAGCTGAACAGAGGGATGCATCCTATTTAGGATCAAATGAAAATGCTTTCTTTGTCTTCCTTCAATTTAACTTTATTTGGCATGTTCGAATTTCTTCATCAAAAAATCTTCTCTGGGAGGGGATAAATATGAAATATGAAGATAGCGAACAGTATTCAAGCTCATAGTTTATTTAAACAATACAAATCGAGAGCCGAGCAAACACGGACCTCTAAAACATCAGAGGTGGGATCAGGCTCCACGGAAAAGTGAGCATTCACTGCCGACAGGTCACAGGAAAAATCCGTAGACAATTCAGTGTGTAAATAATGGCCTAACAATTAGTATGAATAACGTTAGTCAGCATTTGACTTAATGATAGGTTGTATTTCCTGACAAAGTCATTGTATCGACCATAGAACTTGCGAAGTGAGACTGTTGAAATCCTTGTTTTATCAACTTGTTTGTAAATAACTTTCCTCGTTTAAGAAATTGTTAATACGTAGAGCATGCTCTTGCGTATCGAATCAAATGGGAGACAAAAACCTCATATGCAGTTGAAAAGCCTATATTGCTATATAAGGGAAGTTGACGATTGAAAAATTGAAGTCTTCACGTTTAACATAAAGCTTTGTTGTAAGGTTAAATTACCATTAGAGTCTTTCTAATAAAATATCGAGAAAACGAAACATTTGTGTCAAACTCTGTAATATTCATTTTTAACTGGTAGCATTACGTTTGCAGGTCCAAGATTTTTTTTAAAAAAGTCATTACTGCATCAGAGTCGGCATTAATCGTAAACGTTAAATAATTTTCATTCAAAATTTCAAAAACACACAGGTATGAATTGGAGTTAGGCGTATATTTAATATCAATCTTGACCTAGGAAACAGAACACTTTTTGTACGGGTTGGGGCGTATATTATTGAGACAATGCTTAAATTTTACTTCGTTGTTGTTTTGGCTTCTATGAATTTTAATTTCTTGATTTATTCTGTTGATTTAACCAGTAGTTACCAGCTCTAAAGGAAAGCAATGGATGTAGGGCGAATGAGGCACGTGATTCTAATTAGTTTATAATGTTTATCTTCCTTTTGCCTACAATAAACAATATTTACCAATAATAGGCGAGAACTGTAGTGAAAGGCATGACTGAAATTATGATTGATTAATTTTAATTATTTTAATATTCTTATGTTTTAAAATGGGCGGGGTGAGGCATATTACCTCGAACCTACTTTCAACCACCATACAAAAAGTTCCTAATTTTATCACAGTGCTCCACGATTAGAACCAAATTAAAACAGATCATGATAAAGAGGTATTTAAAATAACCAGCTTTTGATTTACTCCAGCTGGTGACAAATTTTATTTTTTTTTTTAGTATATAGTTAGATACCTCACCTGACTTAAGATGTGCTTCTGTTAGAAATCTGTACAGACGTTCACAGTCTATTCCCCTGTTGTCTTCAAACCGATCAATCAAAAACTGAGTTATCCGACTTGGCAATTTTATCTGATTATCCTGAAAATATTAAGTAAACATAGTCGATGAGATAAAAACGACAAAACTAAGATGAAATCATACAATGATTCAGAACAGAGATAAATTATTATATTACCGATTACTTTTTGGTAAAAATTGATAATTTCAACGATCTCTGGATAAACCATAAAAATGGTTATCTGTATTATAAGTTCTAGATAACCTCGAAGGATATTTTAGCAATTGCGTTTCTAATGATAAAATGTGCTTTTAAGGATAAGGACACTTGCTACAAACCAAAAATAGATACATGAAATGGTTTTTTTTTCTCTTTTCTTTGTTTTTTATTTTTTATTTTTGTTTTATTTTTTCTTTTCGTTTTGTATGCTTGTTTTTTTGCTTTTGTTTTTTATTTTTATTTATTTATCTATTTATTTTTGCTTGTAAGTAATACAAATACCTAATTCCAAAAATTATAAGAAATTGTAAATTGTCCGTGATGTTCAAATTCTCACTTTTTGTCATTTACTAAGTAAATATATACAATGTTTTAGCATTTCAAATGAAACTGTAAAAAAAAATCTTGAGTAAAGATTAAATTCTATGTGGCTAGACTTATTCATTTTACTTACATAATCATAGATCAAGTATCTATTTTCATGATTTTTTGGGGGAAAAGTTTGTAGCAAATGACCTATATATCCTGTTATTTAAACCTTATTGTGCAAATGGTCATATAATGGAAAATATTTGAAAGAATATACTGAAAACGATTCAAGATTTTCACTTGAGATCATAATAGATAGCTCTCCTTATTTCTATTGAATTATATATTCAACTTAATTAAGAAAACAAAAAATAAATAAATAAATAAATAAATAGAATAAAATAAAACAAAAAAGAATCACTTTTAAATTCAGTTTGCATCAATCCCTATCTAAGTTCTTATGCAATGTAGAATACATTCAAAAGAAAAAATGCAAAAAATAATAATAAAACTAGATGAGATCTCGTTGCGAGCAACGAGTAGGTCTTCAGTCCGATTTTTCGATAAGATGAGATGTGATTTTCACTATGATCTTTATTAAAAGATAATAATATATATACTTCCCTAATTAGATTTCATTCTTTTGATTTATATAACATTATCAAATAGCAATCGATGACAGGCTTTGGCCCCTCTGAGCCCCTAGTTTGAGGGGTCAGCCCCTTTTTCTTGATATCAATTGAAAGGTCTTGTGATTTTGAAAACGTTTTGTCCAAGTAATATTCAGAGATTTCCTTTCGTTGTGGAAATATGCTGAATGGAATTATTTAGGGGCCACCCCTCCAAGTCCTTAATTGGGCCGTGTGACAAAAATTGAAAGGGTGCGTATTGTACACAGAATATTTGGAACAGTATCCATCTTTTGTTCAGTATTGCTTATCAAAATATCCCCCCTTTTCGAGATAAGAAGCGTCAAAGATTTGGCATTCTGGCCCCTTGTGACCCCTTATTACGTAACATATGATCAGAATCTTATCATATCTTGTTGTAAATTGTTCAGATAAGAATCTTTGCTTCAGTAATGTTTTGCAAATTATTGATCTTTAAAGAGTTATAGATGAAAGACTTTTGGCCCCTCTGAGCCCCTAATTTGAGGGTTCAGACCCTTTTTCTTGATATCAATTGAAAGGTCTTGTGATTTTGAAGACTTTTTGTTCAACAACTATTCAGAGATTTCTTTACGTTGAGGAAATATGCTGAATGGAAATATTCGGGGGCCGATCTTCCAAGTCCTTAATGGGGCCGTTTGACAAAAATTGAAAGGGTGCATATTGTTAAGAACATTATTCTGACCATCTTTTGTTCAGTATTGCTTATCAAAATATTTCCCCTTGTCGAGATCTAAAGCGTCAAAGATTTAGCATTCTGGCCCCTTTTGGCCCCTTATTACGCAATATATGATCTTTATTTCATAATATGTAGTTGCGAATCGTGAAGATTAACATTTTTGCTTCAGTAATTGATAACAAAATATTGATTGTTAAAGAGTTATAGATGAAAGACTTTTGGCCCCTCTAAGCCCCTAATTTGGGACGTCAGCCCCTTTTTTTCTTGATATCAAATGAAAGCTCTTATCATTCTGCACAACTTTTCTTCTATATGTTTTAACAAAATATTAAAAGGTACGAAGATATGAAACAAAACGTGTCAAATTTTGTGAGATGTTTCTGAGACATTTTTTCGAGCCCTACCGAACTTCGGCGCCTTTTGCGCTAGAAAGATTTGGACACCCATCTGCACATCTACAAACCTTCCTCAACTTTCACTGAAAATCTTGACTCAATATCTTAAGTCGTTTCGGAGGAGTTTCCAGGACAAGCCGACCCTCTGAAAATCAGAAAATCGTCCATATCTCACGACCGGAAGTGACAACATCGACGACGAAAATTTCCGACAAGGTTCAGATGAATATCAGAACTGAAAGTTTGGTGAAAATCGACTGAGCCATTTCCGAGAACTCGCGTGCACAAAATCGGTAAGAAAAAAAGAATAACTAGAAACTCGTTGCCATGGCAACAAGAAGGTCTTCCGTCCCTTCTCTGTCATCAGACGTCATAGGAGAATTCATTCCTCACTTATAACACACCATGTATTACCTTTGTGCAATCCTTTTAACTCCTTCGTATAAAAAATATATTAAAATTTAAAAAGTGTGAAAATATCCAAAATTCAAACAGCAATAAATACCAGACAAGACTTTAAAAATAAAATCGTAAATTTAAGCAAAAGAAAAGTGATGAAAAATTTCAGACATTCTTGAGATTGAACCCGACTCGCCTGCGTGAGAGGCAAAACGTTAATCACTATGCTATTGGGGACGCACGCTTTGAGAGGAAAGGTGACTAATTTCTAGAATAAAGATTTATTAATTTTGAAATAATGTATATATTTAGCATTCAGGTAAGACTTTCTATTATCCTTACTTAAATCATTAAAAATACTGAAAAGAAAAAAAATTGAAAACCTATTCTCGAAATTCTCTTCAGATGGTGACCGGAAGCATCGAAGACGCATTAAAAATTAAATAAACATTTACAAGTCATCGTCTAAGATCTCTGATATGTCTTACATTCACATCTTTAGCCGTTCTGGAGGAGTTTGGAAGACAAAAATCCATTTTAAAATCAGGAAATTGTCCATATCTTGGAACAGGAAGTAAATTTTCCAAAATTTCTTTGTGATAAACAAATTTATCATTGTCCATTACCTATGAAAATTTCACTGAAATCCACTTTTCGAGAAATCGCCGACACAAATATGTTGGAATAAAAAGAATAATAAAGAGATAAATTGATTTTAAATCAAATTATTTATTTTTTTTCTCAAATGAAAGTCTCTATTATCAATACTAATATCATTAAAAAAAATGGAAAAAACAAAAAGTTTGAAAAAAATTGACTTTTGAAGTTTGCTTCCGGCAGCGACCGGAAGTAATGACGACGCCAAAAAAAAAATGATTTTGAACATCTACAACTCATGCTCTATCATCTTTGACGTGTCTCAAGTTCATATCTTTAGCCATTTTGGAAGAGTTGCGAAAACAAAAATCCTTTTTAAAATCAGGAAATTGTTCATAACCTGGATGAATAAAGTTCATATTATTGCCCATTACCTCTTAAAGTTTCATTTAAATCCAAAAAATACTGTTTGAAAAATCGCCTGCACGAAATTGGGGGGGGGGGGGGGATAATACCTGGAATATGGATAAATTAAGTTAAACCAAATTATATATTTAGATTTCAAATGAAAGTCTCTATTATCCCTACTAATATCATTAAAAGAATTAGGAAAAAAGTTGGAAAAATTGACATTTGAAATTCGCTTCCGGTGGCGACCGGAAGTTATGACGATGCCAAGAAAAAAAGACTTTGAAATCTACATCTCATGCTCTATCATCTTTGACATGTCTCCAGTTCATATCTTTAGCCGTTCTGGAGGAGATGCGAAGACAAAAATCCATTTTAAAATCAGGAAATTGGCCATTTTATGGAACCGGAAGGGAATTTTCCAAATTTTCTTTGTGATGAACAAAGTTCATATCATTGTCCATTACCTCTGAAAGATTCACTGAAATCCAATAAATACTGTTTGAGAAATCGCCTTCACAAATTTGTTTTTAGTTTTAGTTTTTAAATGAAAATTTCTAATATCCCTACTAATATCATTAAGAAAATTGGAAAAACCAAAAAGTTGGAAAAATTGACTTTTGAAATTCGCTTCCGGCGGCGACCGGAAGTAATGACGACGCCAAAAAAAAATAACGTTGCAGATCTACAACTCATGCTCTATCATCTTTGACATGTCTCCAGTTTATATCTTTAGCCGTTCTTGAGTAGATGCGAAGACAAAAATCCATTTTAAAATCAGGAAATTGGCCATAACTTGGAACCGGAAGGGAATTTTTCAAATTTTCTTTTTGATGAACAAATTTCATATCATTGTCCATTATCTCTGAAAGTTTCGCTGAAATCCAGTGAATAGTGTTTGAGAAATCGCGTGCACAAATTTTTGGGAAAAAAAAGAATAATAATAACTAGAAACTCATTGCGAGCAATGAGAGGTCTTCCGTCCGATTCTGAAAATAAAAACGAAAATTCAAGCTGAAAAAGAGATAAAAGAAATTCAGACACTCTGTAAATTTAACCCTTGTCGTCAGCGTGAAAATCCAACTTGCTAACGTTAACCATTCATTTTTTACATCACTTCCGGTCACGACCGGAAGTACCAGAAGTAACGGCTATACAAGATTTTCTCACGATTCATATAACTGATGACTGACCATCAGTCTTGAAAGTTTTAGACTTCAGTCGTTTACTGTTGCCGAGCAATATTGTGAGATCAAATTCTAATTTTGAGGACAGGTAAACAAGAGACCGGAAGTGAATTTTATAAAAATCTTTGACTTTACTCTAGACATTTGCAATATATACAACATACATAAAGTCATTTCAAGTACTTTATCGATGAGCAATATTTATGAGAAAGTTAAATATCAAAGTAAAGTAGTTTATCTCCTAAAACCGGAAGTTGACGTTTTTGTTTCCGGTGGAATCTAACATATTTCTAAACAGCGAAAGAGATGCAATAAAGTGATGCAAGCATTAATTTAAAAAAGAAAAGTTAATTTTTTTTTTAGATTTCTTTGATCACTTACTGTGACAAGCGGAAGTGACGACTGACGCGTTTAACCCAAATGGTTTTGCCTACTCCTCAAGGTCTATTACTTATAAAAGTTTGGTGTTTCAATCTTTTACCTAGTTTTGAGATATCGCACAGACAACTTCACATTTTGAGGACAGGAAAACATGCGACCGGAAGTGAATTTTTGAAAGATATTTACGATTACTCTAGACATTTGCAGTCTGAATAACATATTTAAAATTCATTTCAGATACTTTTTCTAGAAAAAAATAGTGATGGAAAAGTAAAATACTCAAATTATGTAGTTTTTCTCTTATAACCGGAAGTTGTCGCTTTTGTTTTCGGTGAGACCAAGATCTTTCGAATCTGCGAAAAAGATGCAATAAAGTGATGCAATTTTTAATTAAAAAAAGAAAAGTTGAAATTTTCGATTTCTTTGATCACTTCCTGTGACGACCGGAAGTGACGGCTGACGCTCTGAACCCAAATGGTTTTGCCTACATCTTAAGGTCTGTTGCTCATATAAGTTTGGTGTCTTAATCTCTCACCGTTTCCGAGATCTTGCTCAGACAACTTCTCATTTTGAGGACAGGAAACCACGCGACCGGAAGTGAATTTTACAAAGATATTTGATGTTACTCTAGATATCTGCAGTTTGAATAACATATTTAAAATTCATTTCAAAAACTTTATCTACAAAGGATGTTAATGGGAAAGAAAAATACTAAAATTATGTAGTTTTTCTCTTATAACCGGAAGTTGTCGTTTTTGTTTCCGGTGGGACCAACATATTTCGAAACTACAAAAGAGATGCAATAATGTGATGTAAGTATTGATTTAAGAAAAGAAAGTTGAAATTTTATGATTTCTTTGATCACTTCCGCAAACGACCGGAAGTGCCGACGACGAACGAAAATGTGATTCCACAAATTTAGAAGTCACGTTCTATGCTCTCCAATAAGTCTCCAGTTCATATCTTTAGTCATTCTTGAGAACATTCGAGGACAAAATTTCATTTTAAAATCAGGAAATTGCCCGTAACTTGGAACCAAAATGGAATTTTCCAAATTTTCCTTGTGATGAAACAAGTTCATACAATGACTAATTTTTCCTGAAAGTTTCACGAAAAACCACTGAATAGTTTTGGAGAAAACGCCTGCACAAAATTTGGTCAAAAAAAAAAAAAATAATAATAATAATAAGAAACAGTAGAATCACTATAAGGTCTTCCGTGAAAACGGAAGACCTTAATAAGAAGAAACAATAGAATCACTATAAGGTCTTCCGTGAAGACGGAAGACCTTAATAATAGGGAAAAAGAAACCGAACGAAAACAATAAGGTCTTCCGTTGGAGACGGAAGACCTCAATGAAAAATGTACAAATAGGATACAAGGTGTGGATGGTTTTTATAAATGTGTATGATTCAAATTTATTATGCATGATATAGTGAATGGTAAGGGCTGCTATTATATCTATCAGCTGATATATATATATATATATATATATATATATATATATATATATATATATATATATATATATATATATATATATATATATATATATATATATATATATATATATTGCCAACATGATACATTCCTGTTATACTTACAATGATACGATTTCACAGAATATTTGGAAATGTTTCTGTATTCATTATAAAGCTATAAGAAGCTTTGGTACTTGTGCTATTTAGATACAAAAAAGTAAGCTTCAAGTAAGTATAAACAAATCATTTACTGGTATATGAGAAGAGAAAAGATAAGTTTGGTAATTTCTGTCTCCTCATTTAACGCGTTGTATCATTACTTTTTATTGAGATGTTTCCAAAGTAAATATGTTACCTGGAAAGCTTGATGCAACTCTTTTTGTGTAATCCGGGTCTCCACGTTGCTAAAGTGGCGAAGACTCATGTGAAGAGCACGCATACGCTGTCTGCTGTACTCCTTCAGATTATCAGATAAAATTCGCTGAAACTTTTCTTCAGGGTTTATTTGATCTTGTAGTGAAATTACTGAACATAAAGGAAAAAAATGACTTTAACCTTACATTTTCACATGCATGCTAATGTATGAAGTGGGAAAAAAATTACAATGCTATGTGTTTTATAAAAAGTAAAAGATATTTGAAGGTTAAACAACGAATAGAATTATTGCATAATTGAATTATTGGAAGATGCAGAGGCTATATATTTGGGGAATTGAAAGTTGATGTGTTGTAATTTCATTGGCTACTTACGTGGGACATTAAGGGTTTGTGTGCTGGATGTTGTGATCTAAGAGAATACTTACTTGGGGAATTAAGGGTTGGTGTGTTGGATGTTCTGATCTCAGGGACTACTTACTTGGGGAATTAAGGGTTGGTGTGCTGGATGTTGTGATCTCAGGGACGACTTACTTGGGGAATTAAGGGTTGGTGTACTGGACGTTGTGATCTCAGGGACTACTTACTTGGGGAATTAAGGGTTGGTGTGCTGGATGTTGTGATCTCAGGGACTACTTACTTGGGGAATTAAGGGTTGGTGTGCTGGACGTTGTGATCTCAGGGACTACTTACTTGGGGAATTAAGGGTTGGTGTGCTGGATGTTGTGATCTCAGGGACTACTTACTTGGGGAATTAAGGGTTGGTGTGCTGGACGTTGTGATCTCAGGGACTACTTACTTGGGGAATTAAGGGTTGGTGTGCTGGATGTTGTGATCTCAGGGACTACTTACTTGGGGAATTAAGGGTTGGTGTGCTGGGTGTTGTGATCTCAGGGACTACTTACTTGGGGAATTAAGGGTTGGTGTGCTGGACGTTGTGATCTCAGTTGCTTTTGGCGTTCTTCTGATCTTCTTTTTCCCAGTCTAAAAGTGTATATCAATTATGTGCTCCTCTTACACCATAGTAACAATACACATTTTTGAAAAAAAAATCACAGGATCAATTTTATTCAAGTACAATACATTGGATATGTCAAATGATTGTGAAAAGTTACCATGTCTGAAGGGTCAACAGTGTTCTTTCCACGGGGTCCGCGGCTGTTTTTGGTGCGTCCCCGTGAAGTCACTGTATCTCGTCTGCTGGGAATCCCCATTACACTTGACTCGCTGCAGGTACTGTCCTGAAAAGACGAATACAATGTTAATTTCATGATATTTTGACCTTTTCTAGAATAGCACTGTTTAACGAGGACAAAAATTAAGAATGGTGTCTTTTCACATCTAAGTTGCTTTTCTTGTTTGACCGGAAGGGATAAATCTGCGACAGACCAGATCAGGATTCAAACTTGGGTTCACTGAACTTTTGACAGGTGCTGTACAAGAGACAGGTGCTCTGTTACGAATTGCACTCTTTTTTAAGGAACGCCTTCAAATTTTATAATGTGAGCGATTCGTAATAGGTCATCTGGGCCAAAGGCTCAATCGAAAAGTGTCCAGCGTCCGTTCTATGTATTCACTCTAAACTTTCCACATTTTTTACTTCTTCTCCAGATTACTAAGCCAATTTTAACCAAACTTGCCACAAAGCATTCATAGGTAAAAGGGATTTAGATATGTTCATAGGAAGTGCCACATCCTCTTTCAAGGGGAGATAATTAGAAATTAGTGAAAATTAAAAAGTATCTTTATAAATCTTGTTCTCAGTAACCACTGGGCCGGAAAAGACGAATAGTATGTGGAAGCTTTATTACATAGCATGATCCAGGGGATAGGGTAGGTCTACAACAGGGGATCAAAGTTATACAAGAACAGCAAAGAAACTATTAATTATATCAATACAGAAGCATCCTTAGGCAGGGTATTAAAAATTGTTCAATTCAAGGTCCCCGTCGGTAGGGTGAGGCCACAACAGAAGATCAAACTTTTCCATAGAAATATACAGGATTTTTTTAAATCTTCGAAAGTCATGATTAGTCGAAGAAATATAAAAGCATTCTCAGTAAGTGTAGATTCAAGCTTGTTCAAATCATTCCCTCGGGGGTGTAGGTTGGGAACACTTATACAATTAAACTTTTCAATAATGATCTATTTTCCGCTTTTCTCTTGCTAAAAAGGTAAGGTGAATGATGTGGCCCATGTGCCTCTTGTTTAGATATTTTTTTCGATGGCAAAATATTTCAATCCTATAAAAACATAAATGATGCAAATTGAACCTTCGGTTCTCAGAAACAAATATATTTGGATCTCCTAATTTTCTTGAAATGCTGACAAAACACTATCCACACACATATTTGGTTTAATTACTAGTACCGTTCGTTCATTTAAAACATCCATGTTAGAAAGAAAAGGAAAATCCAGTCTGTGTAATAAGGTGGTTGAAATTTAGAAAAATCTAGTAAAGGCTTATAGAGACATACAGGTTTTAGATAAAAAAAAAAAAACTTACAGGAAATGGACGTTGAATACTTGTATAGTTAATTAAAGGTTATTGCTGAATGTCAACATTTATAGATGTAACTTAAACATTTTGATAACAAAATAAATAATGGTAAATATTTATTCATGCAATTCTATAAACTATTACCACATATATATTATTTTTGCATTGAAGATTATAAGACTGCTATTTGTAAACTTGTAGCAGTTTTAGACAAGGATTATAGGATCGTAAATCAAACCAGGCTTTGCATGTATTTATTGTTATCTCTATTTGAAAATGGTTATCATTCTGTATTAAGTTCACGAAATTATTCTGTATTAATTTCACGAACGTTATAAAATTGATATGTGCTGAATCTCAGGTTTTCCTGATACGGCACGAATATACGTTAGGCTTCTATTAAAAAACCAAATACGTTTTCATTTTCCAATCAATGGAAATTTTATTGTCCGTTTCCCAATTTAAAATTCCATTATGTTAATTAACTATCTTACTTTTTTCTTAAAAGGTTAATTTATGGAGGTCATATGTATATATGTACATGATGTACAACCCAACTTTCAGCCACAAAACTTTTCATTTGTTATATTTTCTGGGCAATAACTGGAAGAAGTCCATAAGTTTGCGAATGAAAATGTTACTTGTCATTATGATTTTAAAGAGACAAACAAGGAAAATAATCACAGAAAATATGTAGCACTCTGTAATAAATAAAAGTACATATAAGCATAGCATCAGATTCAAACTTGTTGTTTTGCACGTAAACATTTTCCAAACCACTTCCCCTTTCTTTGTCAGAATAGCTTAACTTTTTCACTTTTTCATTGTTTTGGTCTTTTTAAGTCCTTTATTCGTGAGAATAAAATGACTTCAAGTAAGATACGAAAAAGAAAGCTATCTACTTATATATTAAAATGATTAAAAGACTTAATTATAAGATATGAAATATGTAAAATACACGTTATGAAATGTCAAAAGCCCATTTTTGTAATCTTAAGTACGCGGTTTTTTTATTCCATTATTGGCAAGAGAAATATTTTTTAAATATTTCATTTTAACTCAAATATTGAAAAAAGTATTTTACGCATACATTGGAGTTTGTGGTTATTCATACATGAATGGTAAATATACCCTTGTTAAAAAGCCTTTAGAATTGGAATTCACGTCACTCAGATTTTGATTAAATTATCATGGCAGTTTGAGGATTTAGATAACCTGTAATTAAACAGTAAAGCAACAGTGTGAGGTTTTATAAAATTTGTAAACCCAAGAACCTGAGAACTCACTGAAGCTGCAGTCTGAGACTTAATATATTCTTTAAACACACGAACTTGAGAAATCACTAAAGCTAGAGTCTGAGGCTTTATGTTACATAAAAACACAAGAACTTGAGAAGTCACTTAATCTACAGACTAAGAATTTATGTTACCAGAAAACGCACAACCCTGAGGAACCACGGAATCTACAGTCTGAGAATTTATGTTATATCTGAAAACACACGAATCAAAAAGTCACAAAGACTAGGGTCTTAGGCTTTGACACCTATATACACCCTAACCTGAAATTTCACTAAGTGCAGTCTGAAGATAGATGTTACCTGACAACACATGAATCCTCAATTATCACTAAAACTACAATGATGCTTTACGTAATATATATAAACAAATGAACCCGAAAATTCACTAAAGCTAGAGTCTGTAACTTTATGTTACATAAACACGCATGAACCTGACATATCACTAAATGTACTGTCTGAGGATATTTGTTACCTGTAGACTCTAGAGCCTGATAATTCGCTTGATCTGCAGTCTAGGGATTTGTGATACCTGAAGAAACACGAAGCTGAGAGTCACCAAAAGTCACCAAAACTAGAGTATAAGGCTTTATGTTAACTGAAAACACACAAACCTGAGATACAACTAAATCTACAGTCTGCTGATTGTTGTTACTTGTAGACACCAAAACCTGATAATTCACTCAATCTGCAGCCTACCTCAAAACACACGAAGCTGAGAGATCAGAAAAGGAACAGTCTGAGGATTTCTATTACCTGCCCAAGAAACATGAACCCGAAAAGTCACAAGAGTCTAAGCTAAGTTACAAAATCTACAGTCTACAGTCTGGTGATTTTTGATGCCTGTAGACACTAGAACCTAACAATTCACTAAATTATCACTAGAACCTGACAATTCACAAAATCTGCTGTCTGAGGATTTATGTCACCTGAAAACACAAGAATCTGACAAATCGCTTGAGCAACAAGTTGAGGATCTGTGAAACTATAAGCACATGAACCTAAATAAACACTAAAGCTAGAGGTTGCCTGAAAAGACACGAATCTGAGAAATCACTAAGGATTTACGTGACCTGTAAAACACACAAACATGAGTGGTATAATTTAGATTTAGCCTACCTGGGATGATAAGCGGGAAGATTTTCGCGTGACTCGATTTTTCGCTTGTTTATATGTTAGCTCCGGTTTTCCATGTCCCCCTTCTTTTTCACTTGGATTTGAACTTTGACACTTGATTTGAATTCGGTACAATGCATCTGGTGAAAGTTTAGTAAAATTATCCGAGCGGATGTAGGATTCGATGCTATCCATATCATTTGTTATAGTTCCAGAAATACGGTGAAAGGTGTAGACCAAACTTTAGATATTATTCCTTTACTTTTCAAAACATCCATTGAATTTAGTTTGTTTTGAGAGATATCCTTATATAAGTGCGACACTTTTTTTTAGTTTGTATTTACACAATTAAAACATCATTAAAAAGCCTGTCCCCTTGCAACAAATTGGATTCACTAATGAAAAAAAGTTGTGATTTATATTCCCAATATGCATAGTAAATAAATACCATGTCAACTAGTTAGCAGTGTTGTTAGTAATGTAAATGACCTTTGACAATACACATCAAATGAAATTAAATTCTACACAAATATTGCATTTTCATTACGGTAAATTATCGCCCGGACTGAAAATTACCGTTGGATCCCCTGTTGTTTAACATCCGGGCATCACAGGAATTGCGTTACCACGCAACACCCGATAGGCTCGTGTTCAAAGTCCGCGACATGTAGTAATAAAGATACGCATCATAACGGGGACGGATACCGCCACGAGAAATTCTCATTCCCCCTTATAATATAATCTTAACGTGTTGACACCAACGCTTTCTTTTTAAGTAATAGCTGTTATCAAGATATGCATTGTGAAACGTTTGATAGTATAAAAAATATTTTCTTGAAAAAAAAAATTAATATAATGATTTTCTTAAAAGTATGTTCAGTATCATATCTTGAAACTTTAATATTTCTTGTGTAAAAAAGTAAAGCAACGCATGGAAAGTATCACATTACGTCACATTTCTATTTATGATTACCGGAAGTGTAATGTCTATCCATTAGAACTTCTGTACAGAGAACGCTGTATGCATTAATGATCTCTCTGATCTCACCTAGTCATTAAATGTCAACAGATTTTCTATTTTGTGTGTTTTCAACAATGTTCTTTGGGTAAGCTTTCTTTCAAATGAAAGAAAAAGTGCTTGCAGAAATCTATAACGTTGGGTAAAAACGAGTGGAATGGGTTTTTTTCCAAGTATTTATAAATGTACAGTTCCAAAATTAAAAATTAGTAACAATTCTGTGATATTTATATTCATCGTTAGAACCCTTTTATACAACAATATAATTCGTGCCAGATACGTTTTACTATAAATGCCCACTATTGCATGTTAAACTAAGGTGGATTTTCTTTTGTGATGATTATCCCATCAATATTTATTTAGATTCAATAACTCGTTCTTGCATCATCACTGGGAAAGCTTTTGTGATTAAATAAAACATCAATATCATATATTGATAACTAATTAGTAGTTTTGCACGATGATGATATTTATCATTATTGATATGGAAAAGGGTCCATTTAAAAATCCATTGTAACATTTTCTTGGTGCAGTGGACATAATTAAATAATTGTTTTCCACAAATAACAATGATTATTGCGATGTTTTAAATTTGCTTCGATTTAATTTTAATTATATATATTATACTGTGTGGAAAAAGTAAAAAGGCATATACAATATATATATATTATATATTATATATTATATTATATATATATATATATATATATATATATATATATATATATATATATATATATATATATATATATATATATATATATATATAATTTAATTTTTGTTGTAACGCGTCATTTGATTAGATAACCTGTGTTGACTACGTCGCAATGACGCGTCAAAAACGTATCAATCCGCTTGAAGTTACATCTAAAATATGTACATTTTAAAGGCATTTTTGAAGGTGAAATTATCTTATTTTCTACATATTATGATGAAAAATTAAATAATAAGGAATGAATTTAATAGCCACCCAAGTTATACTGGTATAACCTGGGTTGGAACAGTCAACGCTTTTTTATAAGCCGCTTCGCGGTTTATAAAGCGTAAACTGCCACATTCTTAAAATATACGGTAAAAAGTGTATATGAAATAATTGGTATCTTTTGCTAATTCTACAGGCTTTTTTTTTCAGATGAAATCCTTTTGTCTCTACTGGTCAAGCGGAATCACAAAATACACGAAAGTTTATGAACTAAAGATAATTAGGCCTTGCCTTTTTTAAGCATCATTTTTATATGATAAACGCTTGATGTCATCAATTATTAATTAGAAGTGTATGTGTGTAGAAGGGGTAGGGCAAATCAAACGAGGCATTAAAGATTCGGGTATAATACTAAGCTACAGGAAAAATAAATTTTACAGAATCTAGATCTTCAAATCACTTTACTCTTGTCTTTTCCGGTTTAAATATTCGGCTACTTTTACAATAAATCATGCATTTTCCGTCATGATATGTGCTTTCCAATTGAAATTAATAAGGCGTGAAAGGAATTCTTTTAAAATGACTCTAGCAAAACTTAAGCTCAGTGGGTTAATTAACTGAAGATGAATATATCATTTACCATTAACAAAATGTTCATTATATTTAACGGTCACCCGAGTGTCACAAAACATCCTTCAATTCCCTCCTACGAAGATTACTTATAAAAACTTGCGTGTGGCCTCATTGGTCATGATTTGCATAAACTTGAATATAATGAACACCAGAATGGTCATAAAATAAATTAGCAATTTGTATAGAGAAGTTTACTTGCATGTTAATTTGACAGGTTGTAGCCTTGTAGATCTCGAGAAAAATCCTGCTTAATATACAATAAAACCCATGATCTAAATGTGGTCATGAAATCAATCTACATCAAACATCTAGGAATATATCTACATGAAAACTATTAAATATTATAAGATAAACTTTGTCCGTTTTGTGACCGTTCTTATATCCAGGTTATCATTGTGATAACCTTGAATCTATACAATATGTATCCAATACAGGATTTGTTAAGAATTTGGTACTCATGGCCAAGTAACGATGTCTAATGTGACGATTTTATATATATATATATATATATATATATATATATATATATATATATATATATATATATATATATATATATATATATATATATATATATATATATATATATTTATGCCTCCTCTTTTCCTAACTGCTATGAAAAAAGGGACAAAACACATGTGTATATTGAAGTTGTATTTTATTGATCAAAATAAAGATTTTGATCAATCAACAAAAAATGTAGTTAATATAAGCATCAAAGGTTTCCAACAAATATGGACAATTGTTCTTTACACATATAAAATATTTCTTACATACATGTATAATAATAACAGAACACAAACTCTATATTAACTACTGTTTGCCAAAAAACTATTGTAAAAACATGTATATACAGTTTCCTTCATACAAAATCAAAACAAGAATTTAACAGGTAAATACAGAGAGTATACAATGTAATTTTTGTCTCAAATCTTCTAACCTTGGCAAAGGTGGGGTCAATCATCCACCACACACATGAGCAGTTAAGGGGAGGAGGGAGGGTAACTAAAAAACTGGCTAAAAATTCACAAAAATATTTGTTCTCCTCCAGGCTTAGGCTAATACAGAAAGGACGCTATCTCTTAGCCAATGAAATCAAAGGAAAGTAGAGAGGCTACATACGGGTCACTGACTTAACAAAATGTGAGGCTCACCAAAGGGTGACAAAATGAAAATCATGGAAACTCGTCGTCATAAAATAATTTATTACATAAATCGCATATATATATATATATATATATATATATATATATATATATATATATATATATATATATATATATATATATATATATACATACATATCGCTTTTTAATTATATACATACATACATATATAATATATCGCTTTTGAATTATATTCAATATTTGTATGCTATTGAATATTATATTGAATGTTAATTCCAGTACTAACAAACAAACAAACAAAGCGTTTTATTGTTTTAACACATGCTAGTAACAAAGGATTTGTCTCCGTTATACTCATGGTAGAAATACGTCATATTTGGAGGTTGCACCACGTGGTCATACCATTGAATGCAAACACGTAGTCAATTTATTCAAAGTTTCAACGTATGACTTATAATTTATTCAGTTGACAGAAATAATGCTTAAAAATCATTGATGTACCTAAGCGGTATCTATTTTATGGCGCCAGTCCAAAAACCTTTTGATAACCCCTCATTCATTTGTATAAATTACACATACATTAGTACAAAAAAGGATATTTAAAATCTCTTTCTGAAGAACAGCAGACATAATGGGTCAATATAAAAAAAGGCAGCTTTTTATGTCACTGTATTGCTTAATTTCATTTAAAAAAAAAATGACTATCAAAAACGATCAAATAACAAATAAAGGATTCTATATTTTCTATTGCTTATACATGTAAGAGAAAAGTAAAATAATATGTATTTGAATAAATATAAGTATTCAATCGCCTAAATCTGCCAGTTTTACACTGTCAATAGAAATGCACTTTCTGTTTAATTGATAAATATTCTCAAAATTATTAAAAACATAATTCAGAATGATATATAATTATGTAATACACAACTTAGGAGGAATGTTTTTAAAAGTAAAAAAAAAAATATGCACCCATCCTCCATAAAACTAATACAATACAAAATATGTCTGTACATGAATTTTTTGTCATTGGTGTAACCGATTTTAATTTGTTTGAAAAGAATTATCATTCTTGATGAATGACATCATAGCTAGTCCTGAGTTATATGACATCACTTCCTGTAAAAGATTGCAGACGCCATTTATATGTTTTGTGGTTTGTGTTAGTATGATGAGCTTCTGATGACGAAAAGGTAAGAAATACAATAATGCTTTGTCATTGGTGTTGTAGTAAATATGTCAAAGCATTTGTCGATAGAAATTTGATTATCTTACTTAGTGTTTTTCAGACTTTTACTAAACGAACTATGAAGACGACCTTTTCATTCTCAAAGGGCATTTAAGTATGCAGCCCATATTCTGTATTTTTTTGTCATTGGTGTTACTGTTATTGGTGTAACTGCTACAAAGTAACACCAGTGATGAGTTTATTTACACCAGTGACAGAAAATATACATTTAATTACACATTCTTTTATTTTTTGAATGAAATGAAACTT